TTCCAGCCAGTGTCTTAGTGTCCCCATGTCTCTGTGTCCCCTAGTCTTCCAGTGTGCTGTAGTCTTCCAGTGTTTGTGTTCCCATGTCTTTTAGTGTCCCTAGTGACTTAATGTCCCCAAATGTTTCAGTGTCCCCATGTCTCTGTGTCCCTAGTTTCTCAGTGTCTCCATTTCTCCCAGTGTCCCCATGTCTGTATTCACAAGTGCCCCCATGTCTCCCAGTGTTCCCAGGTCTCTGTGTCCCCAGGTCTCACTGTGTCCCCTAGTACCCTAGTGACATGGGGACACACTGAGACATGGGGACACTGGGAAAAATGGGGACACTGGGAGATTAGGGTCTGGGTGATATGGGGACACTGATACATGGGGACACACTGAGAAATGGGGAGACTTGCGAGACTCAGACACTGGGAGACAGGGAGACCCTGGGAGCAATTCATCTATACAGCAGACTCAAACTGTGAGTACTTTGTTGGTGATTTTACAGACTTTTCTTTTATGTCACTCCTTGTGATGTCACTCATAACTAATTATACAAAGGTTGGTATTTTTTTTCCAAGAAAGTTGGCAACCCTAACTACTCTTCACATACTCTTGCTTAAAGGAACACTATACGGTCAGGAATACAATCACGTATTTCTGACCCTATTATGTAAAAAAACCTTCTAGCCCCCCTGACCGTCTCTTGCCTCCCTAAATGTAGTAAAATCTTGTATTCAGGTCTGCAGCTGCTGTCTGCTGACATAATCAGAAGTGGTGGTCTGAGTAAATTACAATGCTTCCCCATAGGATTGGCTGAGACTGTAAACTAGGAAGATCAGGGGCAGAGCCAGCACAAGTCAAACATAGCCCTGGCCAATCAGCATATCCTCATAAAGATAAATTGAATCAATGAATCTCTATGAGGAAAGTTCAGTGTCTTCATGCAGAGGGTGGATACACTGAATTGCAGTGCTGCACACTAGGCAGTACTGCCCCAGGAAGCACCTCTAGCCAGGTCCGGTGCTACCTGTTAGGCGGACTAGGCAGCCGCCTGGGGCGCCCCTTGGGAAGGGGTGCCGCCAGGAGCGCTGGCTTCCCTCATGCTGCAGCCGCCTGAGTGCTCTGCAGAGAGCCTCAGGCAGCTGCAGCTTTGCCCGGGCGGTGCGTCCATGAGGGCGCACCGCCCGGGCGCAGCATGAGGAGAGGGGCTGACAGGAGGGGTGCGCTCAGCGCTCCCTCCTGTCACTCCCTCACTGTAGCGTGGCCAAGCCCTCTATTGGTCCGCGGGTACAGGGAGCATCTGTCTCCTATACCCGGCCGGACTAACAGGAAGTGCACACTGAGTGTGCACTTCCTGTTAGTCCGGCCGGGTACAGGAAACAAAAGAGAGTGACAAGGGAGGGGGTAGAAGAGAGGGACAAGGGGGGGAGAGGGGGGAGAAGAGATTGACATCCAGAGGGAAATCAAGAGATTGACACACACACACAATGCACCCATTGCACACAGAAAAACACACAATGCATTACACACACAGACACACACAAGCAATGCAACCCTTACACACAATGCATCCCTTACACACACAGAAACACACAATGCATTCCTTACACACACTCAATGTACCCCTTACAGACGCGCACACTGCATCCCGTACATACACAGAAACACACCTTGCAGCCCTTACACATACAAACACAGATTCACACAATGCATTCCTTACACACATATCAGGACATCCCCCTACTCCACCCCCGTGAACAAACTCATTGGTGGAACATGAAGGTGGACCCTGGGACCCAGACCTTGAGCTGTGTAAAGGGCCTTAACAAAATGGAGCTGCTTCCCATTCTCCCAGAACATTGATTTTTGTGACCACAGTTACAAACAGCCTCCAGAAAGCCTGTTCTACACCAGACCAGTGGAGCCAGACTGCAGCTAGAGCCCATCATCATCCTCATCTGGTTGTAAGTAAGCAATCTAGTATATTATTCGTGGCACTAATCTCTAGTCCCCAGAACCACTTCAGCTTAATGTAGTGGTTCTGGTGTCCATAGCCTGTCCCTGCAGGCCTTTTAATGTAAACACGGCGGCACAGCAGCACTGGCTTTAGTTAACATAGCAGATCATATGGGTGGGGCATTGTGATGTCACATGGGAGGGGGGGGGGGGCGGCAAAATTTACTTTTGCCTAGGGCGGCAAAAATCCTTGCACCATCTAAGGAGTGGCCAGTTGAGTTATTTTTCTCTGAAAAGACAGTGTTTACTGCAAAAAGCCTGAAGGGAATGATTCTACTTACCAGAACAAATACAACAAGCTGTAGTTGTTCTGGTGACTATAGTATCCCTTTAAGTTTGGAAGCTTAAAGGACCACTATAGTGCCAGGAAAACATACTCGTTTTCCTGGCACTATAGTGCCCTGAGGGTGCCCCCACCCTCAGGGACCCCCTCCCGCCCGGCTCTGGAAGGGGAAAAGGGGTTTAAACTTACCTTTTTCCAGCGCTGGGCGGAGAGCTCTCCTCCTCCTCTCCGCCTCCGTTCCGCCCCGCCGGCTGAATGCGCACGCGCGGCAAGAGCTGCGCGCGCATTCAGCCCGTCGCATAGGAAAGCATTTACAATGCTTTCCTATGGACGCTTACGTGCTCTCACTGTGAAAATCACAGTGAGAAGCACGCAAGCGCCTCTAGTGGCTGTCAATGAGACAGCTACTAGAGGATTAGGGGGAAGGCTTAACCCATTCATAATTATAGCAGTTTCTCTGAAACTGCTATAATTATGAAAAAATGGGTTAACCCTAGCTGGACCTGGCACCCAGACCACTTCATTAAGCTGAAGTGGTCTGAGTGCCTAGAGTGGTCCTTTAAGAGGGATGTATGGCAACAAAACTTGTGTAGACTGGCTGACAATAAAATTAGTTTAGGTAATGCAGACTTTGGTTTCTCTAACACTGTGGCATGTCCCCTGTCTTCTACACACACTACATTCACTACACTCACTACATACAGCTTAACTCTGTCCCAGACTATATACCAGGAATTCTGCCTACTAGTAAGACGATAAGGTGACAAGTGGACATGTGAGTGCTAGGGGACAGTCCTTAGAAAGTGTGGAGTAGGAGCATCATTTGAAGCATTTATGTCAAGCTCAGGGTGCTGCCTACATAGTATGTACTTAGACAGCCTGCAGGATTGATAGGCAGCCTGACATGCATTCATGCCAGGCTGGCCTTTCAATTCTTTGGACAAACATGCCCCCTTTTTGGGCATGTTCACCCCTTTTTGCAGTTCTGGTCACGTGATTCGCGTCAGTGGCACACCCTTTTACCCTGCCCATTGACTTCCTGCTTCACTGGACACTGCTGTTAGGAGGTATGGATTTACTTGAAAGATGAAAACATGAATTAGAGAGAGATTAGCATAGAGTGTGTGTTTTTGTATAGCTGCATCCTCTCCCTCCAACACCATCTCCATCAGATACATGACGCTTGGGAGGTATGGTTGTTTCAGTGTTTTTGGTCGATAAGATTCTGTAATTAGGCCCATCATAATTGTCAGCTCCAGGCCCATTGGGCTCTTAATCTGGCCCTGCTGGCAGGGTTAACAATGACTTCAGTTACATTTGACCGTGTGACTATTAATATTAGCTATTTTCATTTAAAATTGGCTAAACTTTGAAAATGCTTTTCATAATAAATTGTATCTTTTAATTTGCTTGTGTTTGGTGAGCTGGAGGAAAAATAGAAGCATATCAGTAAAAGCATTACTTGCATGATAACATCCTCTTATTTTTTCTTATAAATTAGCAAAACCGTAACATACAGCATCTACACTACATTTTACAGTAATGGTTAAGAAGTATCATTTCCAGTTACAATACAAAGTGTAAAATAAAGTGTATTACATTTTTCGGTATATTAAAAGCAATTTTTTAGTGTTACCAATGAATATGAATGTCATAGAAATAGGATGCCAAGGGCATAAAATATATTTTTACATGCCAAATAGTACTAACCAGTCAGATCCAATATGGAATTGTGATAATAGCCATGTGAAAATTGGTATTCTAAATGTGTTTAACAAAATTAAAAATGTTGCTCTTTCTATTCTTTGTTTTATAGTCACCGCTTGGAGTACTTCAGGCCTTTTAACTTCAGTGCATTGATGGGTGGAAAATGGAAACAGCCTCTCTCCAGCCTGTGGAAAATTTAACTTGTCTTAAGCTCTGCATTTATGCTTTAAATGTCTTCTAATTATTTTAATCAGCTCCTTTTTCAGAATGAGCGCAGAAAATCACACTAGAGCGTATAACAGATTTTTTTCTTTCTCTTTTTAATACAATCGGTGCGAGCTTTATAGTAAAATCTTCCAGCTGTAGAAACACCAATTTATAACCTTATTTCATATTTTTTTTTTTTTATTACCATCTCTGATCATGTTTACTGAGCAGAAACCTTAAATCTTGATATTATTGGTTGGGTGGTATGGTATCGTAAGCAAATAATTAGTTGACTTTGTGTTGACCCGTGACCAGAGGGTAAAGGCAATAAATAATGCATGTGCAAAACGAAGATCATAGCCATAAATATCAAAGTGCTGCTTTACTATACCTACCTACCTACAATGTCTGTACCTGCTGAGCATCGATGGAGGACTCATTCTTTCCAAAAAGGCTCACTTGTCACTTAAGCAAAAAGAAGCCATGCAAGTAAAATCTTGTCAAAGCAGAAATCTCTATTAAATATTTTAGGGGATACAAAGTATGTGTTACATCCACCTAGTGATGTATTGCATTAAAGTGTTTTTATTTTAATCTTTCTGCTGAGCTTTTTTGAATGAATGTGTTACATCAACCTCCATCAGTATGAGATGTATAAGAAATGGAAATGGAATAGAATGCAAATATTCACTATTTAAGTTTTTTTTGGCAAGCTGTACATATCACAGGTGAGGGAGTTCCAGGGAGCAAAGAAAAAATGGACAAATCCACAAAAACAACATCAATAAAAGAGTCTAGCTATAACCTTTAACTAAAAATGAGTCTGGTACATAAACAAAAAAGAAATATATATATGTTCAGTTTTCCAGCATCCCAGGGGTAATCTACAAATACTGCAATTCCTTGGAGACCTCTTATTTCTACATCTCATAGCTCAATAAAGATAATCATTGGGAAAGAGATTTGAAACAATTTAGCATTGGGGGAGTTCAGCTGCTCAAAGTATAGAAACCTAGCATGTGACAGAAGATAAGGACCATTTGGCCTATTTAGTCTACACCCAATTACTTAAATACTTTCATTAGTCCTTGACCTTATCTTATAGCTAGGATAACCTTATCCCTATCCCAGGCATGCTTAAATTCCCTCACTGTGTTAAATACAGTGTACTCATTCACTAAGCACCTTTTTGCAATTACATTTAGGATACAGTTAGATACTTGCTTGAAAAAGAGCTGCACATCTTTTTAAATATACATTTCTAAATGGAATTCATAAAATACCTTTACTATGCAAAACATTAAAATTGGGTGTATGTGTGTATATATATATAACAATCTGTTGCAACAACACAACATTGCACCATTCTTCTAAATCAGCAGAATTTCTAGTCCATGTTCCCTTTATCCAACTTATGATCGCATTTCTTTTAGAATCACAGGGAATGTATATTGCATGTACTCACCAATACTGTGATAAATTGCCAGATACTTTAATCAATGCTATAGGGAAGGCCTAAAGGGATTCTATAGTGTAAGTCAGCATTTCCCAAATGGGGGTCTGCCAAAATTTCTGAAAACAAAATGGCCCCAGGCGGCGAGTGAGCAGTGGGCAGTGATCTCCCTGCTCAGCTCCCTCGCATCACTAAGAGCTGAGCAGGGAGATCACTGCTACCTCACCACTCGCCCACGCCCCAGGGACTGAACGCCAGCCACTCAGCAGCCCCAATAGACCCCAGGCACCACACACCAGCCGCTCAGCAGTCCCACTGGACCACAGGGACCGCACTCTCAGTCCAGCAGCCCCACTGGACCACAGGGACACAGACAGGGCCACCATCAGAGGGTGACAACCATGCCGGTTGTCACGGGCCCGGCAGTCCTGGGGGGCCCGAACTGCTTTGGCAGTCTCTGGCCCCACATTCCCTCTCTGCACATATATATAGCGATGATCGCTATATATATATGTGCAGCTGCGGGCCCCCGGCTCCCTATACTTGCAGAGGGGGCCCAGCAGACTGCATATGTATGTTACAGCTCTTTGCTCTCTCTAACTATGGCAATGCTCTGCGCGGCACGCATGCCACACTTGCAGGGAGTTAGAAAGAGCAAAGAGCTATAACATGCAGGAGGGGAGAACCACTAAGGGGGTGGGGTGAGAGGACCACCCAGGGGAGAGAGGGGGGACTGGAGAGGACCACTAAGGGGTTTGGGAGAGGGAGGACCACTAAGGGTGGAAGGGGGGACTGGAAAGGGCCACTAGAGGGGGGGAGAGGGAGGACCACTAAGGGTCTTTAGGTTGGGGGGGGGAGTGAGAGAATCACTAAAGAGGGAGAAGGGGGAATGAGAGGACCACTAAGGAGGAAGATGGGGGTGAGAGGACCACCAAGGGTGGACTGGAGAGTACCACTAAGGGGGCACTGAGGGACAGGGGAGAGCTCTATGGATGGAGGGGTAGGGGAAATCACTAAGGGACAGGACGGGTGGTGAGAGCACTAATGTCTAAGGGATCACCAAGGGACAGGGGGCCAAGGGAGAGCACTAAGGGTTAGGAGGGGAAATCACTAATTGATAGGAGGGGAGAGCACTATTATTTAAAAACAAAAAGAAAAAGAGCTGCTCCCCTCTTAGCCCCTATCCTACCCCACAAACCCTCTCTTTTGCACCCCTTACAGACGCACACTGTGTTATATTACAGCCTGCATTCCTTACACACATATACCCAGAAACAAACACTGCATGCCCTATACACACACTATATCCCTTACAAAAATTGGTATCCCTATAGACTACATTCCATAAGAACACACACACATTACATCCTCTACAATAACACATAACACATCTCCTACAAATATATACTCCACTCTCTGTGAGCGAAGTCATGGGTGGGCCATGTCGGTGGACTTATGGGCTGGCCTTATAGGCATACTCACGGTCAGGCCCTGGGGACCCAGACCTTAAATTGTGTAAGGGGCCCCAAAAATAGAGCTGCTTCCTGTTTGTTAATTGTTGCAATCTAGTGAATAATCTTGTGATCCATTTGTAACTAAATGTTATTCAGCACAGGACAGAGGCAAACCTCGAAGGTACCCCAAGGGGACAGAGGCAATCCTCAAGTGTGCTGCAATTCTGATAAAACCGCATATTAGAGACTTTAAGTAATAGGCAAAATATGAATATAGTTGTTTAGATATTGGTTCAGTCCAGCCACAAGAAAATGTTAGGTCACTTGCTTAATTACAGAGGAAAAAAATTGTACCACCCAAAAACTCAGGATAACAGTCTTCACCACTTATTGGCTTCTTCAAGTATGTAAGACAAAGCAAGAAATGCTCCAGGCACTTAAAGTGATAAAGCCGCAGGCAGTTTTAATAGAACAGAAAAAAGCAGCAACGTTTTGACCTGCTATGAGGCCTTTGTGAAGCTATGTTAGCAACGTTTCGACCTGCTATGAGGTCTTTGTCAAGCTAACACAGCTTGACAAAGACCTCATAGCAGGTCGAAACGTTGCTGCTCTTTTCTGTTCTATTAAAACTGCCTGTGGCTTAAACACCTTGAGTGCCTGGAGAATTTCTTGTTTTGTCTTATCGTTGTGGTATTGCTGGTCTTGCTCTGGAGCACCGGGTGGCTGCTGGGATTGAGTGCGGCTCCTATCTTCATTATTGTCTTTAAGTCTAAAGGCACAATAAGCAAAAAACTATTTTTATTGATCACCACTGAGTGTGTCATTCACGAAAGTGAAACTAGCCTGGAATGTTATTTGAATTTTAACATATAGTCCATAATAGCAGAACCAAAAATACCGTGCTCACTCAGAAGTGTTTTTTCTAAGTTGGCTAATTTTTCCTAATATTTGAAATTAGGTTTGAAGTTTTTACAATTCACACTCTACTGAAGAACAGTGCATTAATTTAGGTAGAATAAAATAAATTTCAAGTTACATTAAAAAAAGAAGTAGTTTGAGACCCTCACTAAGAAAGAAATAAGAACATTTGAAAAAAAACTCCATTGCTACATCGATCACCTATTAAATTCACATTACTCTTTTGTTCCCCTCCTATGGAAGACCATGTTGGACAGCCTGTCTTGCAAATAACCCTAATAACAGGATTATCATTATTTAAAAAAAAATAATAAAATTTGTAACGAACTAAACAAACCTTAGTAAATGTATCTTTCTTTAATAAAAAAAAAACTAATTTTCGTTAGCAACACCGCAGTCCTATTCTTTTATTTATGTATTTTTTGTTTAAGCTATTCATTCCTCATCTGTTTTTGAGGGAATCACAAGGACAAGCGTGCTTTTAGGGCACTAAATGGCTTTTTTATGGATCTTTTTTGTGATTGTCTTCTTTTAAAATGAGCATATATATCAACATATGCACTTTCAGGTGCTATACGCTGCAAATTTATTCAAAGCAATCATGATCTTTTTAACAGCCCCACTTCCTCATTTTCTATTTCCATGCAATTATCTTCATTATGCACAAACTTAGAAAAATGCAGTAGTTGACAAAAATACATAGAAATGGCAGCTTAATTTTTAATGTTAGTGATGTTATTGTGCATTAAAGTAACCTTATAGTCATGATGTATTAATATTGTTTTTGAGGAGGAGGGTAAAATATGTTCATTTTCTCTTTTTATGGCTATTTTAACCTTGATTAATGAACAGCGGAGTAAGTTGTGATGTATTCAACACCTAAAGAATACGATTCATCAGATATGTTGGATGTTTGTATTGCTATTTTCAGTTTGAACGGCTGATTTCTAAAAAGGTCATGCTCTATTCAAGTCATTATAATAATAAGTTGTTGGGGGGGGGATCTCACACAATGCAGATGTGGCAAGTGTCCACTGTGGCATTGATTAATCAAGTCTACATGATCTACATAATATTTAACATTCTATAGAGTAGCTACTTATTTTTCTTCCACGCATTTGTTTTGCATATTTAAAATGAGTTGCAAGTAAGCAGAATTTTCCATCAAGAGCTCTGTCCTTTGCTTTATGTTATAAAACCTGTGTTTGCACTGTATTTTTTTTGGCTTTTGTTTGCATTTTTTACATTTTATTTTTCCAGATCACAGATTTTCTAACATGTACATTTTGACATATTCTAGAATTAGCTTCTTTTCCCCCCCGTCATTTATTGAAAATCAGCAGTATGGTAATATTCCGAGCTGTCTTTTACCTGGGTATAAATAGATAATACTGGCTTTTTAGGATATTTGCATAGCACTGACAAATTAGAACATTGCTATACAGCTCTATATTTTTTTTTTTCTTGTGTGATAATCAAATCTGTCACGGGCCAGTCTGCAGACTACCAAATAATGAATTTTCCTCTGTAAGAGATGGTATTCTTTAATCACAGCGTTGGAAACACTGTGAGTATGGCCAGTGCCCTAAGCCATCTTTTCCATTATACTGGCAGAAAAGGAAGAATAAAGAGAAATGAAGCACGATATCTTGGGCGTAAATGACAAACCAGAAAATGACTGACAAGAAACAAAACCATTTTTTAAATGGGGATGAGAAATTACAGTACAAGTTAAAAAGCACTGCGAAATAAGTACCCATAGGAATCCATCTAGAGATGAGCCTGAAGAAGCAATCTAAAGTAACGCAATGCTGAAAGACCGTAGAAATTATAGGCATGGCTGAGTAACAAATTATCTTGACCGTGAATAATAAAAATTTCAACAAAATAAGTTACTGGAGAATATTACCATTCTAATCATTTTTTTAAAATGCATTAACAAAATGATGCTGAAGCACAACAGGCAAAAAGTATATTCAAATAAAGATAATTATAAATTTGCTATGTTCGGAGCAGTGAGCATTTTGAACTGCAATTCATATAAATTTTGGGGTGAGGCAGAATTCTGATTTCAGGGGGACTGACGTGCAAATCTGAACATGCTAATATTGGTTCTTGGCTGGCATCTCAATAAAAAGTTGGGTAAAATGGAGAAGAGACTGTTTTTTTTAATTTTTGGGGGGCAAATAAACAGCTTAGTTTCCTGCGATGGACAAGAGCCCTGCCCAATCATGTGGGCTGCATCTTTTGTCCATTGAAGAGGTAGCAAAATAAAGATGATTAATGGTTATGGGAAAGACACTAAATTCTAATCTTATTTACAGATCAAGTGACAATCTGACTAACAGAGGGAAAACAGGTGGAGCAGTTAAACAATTTGTACTTCCAAGCAGGGTTTAACAGACACTTTGACTGCAGCTACTGAGGGAGACAGAACAGCAGTGTACACTATGTTTTACCCTTGCTGTGCCTGACCGGGAGATAGTCTGGGTTACTGATTCTTATGTAACATTATTTTTTTTTTTTTTATAAAAATTTAGTTTTCTTGTATATTTAATTAACATAAACAAACAAATATACATTCACATACATAGAAGAGCATATGATAATCATAATATACATATTGTCTTGTTTACTAATGTAAGATTATGATGCACTTTCTGCTGTATCCAACTAGCAGACACGTGAAGCAACTCGGAGATAGGAGACTGCTAATTTGCCATTGATTTTCAATGTTACATCTAAATTCGAAGTAGAAATTGAGGAAGGGTAGGTTCCCCAGTCCACCATCAGCAGTATTGCCACGGCCTCTGAGAATCTGCTTAACTTTTTCCTAGACCACGAGTACTGCTGACACCTCACCCACTGCTGCCTCTGCCACCACCAACACAATAAGTAGTATTCAGCCTCAGGATAGTGGGATTAGAAGCATGTCTCTTAAACTGGAGTTGCCAAGTCCATTTGTGAGGTAGAATCGGCTCATTTAATGGATACAGTTGGAGCATCATCTTCTACCAGTGATGATGATATTATTATTATTATTATTATTAGCATCACCACCTCCATTACTATTAGTCGACCAACTACTAGTGTTGAAGCTAGTGTTGTGACAGCTTCCAAAGATACAAATACAACAGCATCTTCCACCTGCCACAAGGCCAAGGTTTGAGGTTAATACATTGTGCCAAAGGAAAGTTTGGAATCACTTTGACAGCCTCCAAAAAAATGTGAATTTCAAAGTGTAAATTGTGCAGCAGGGTAGTGAGTATGGGTAGAGCGAAGGGTGATCTCACTAGTGCAAAGTGTGAGGGATAGCCAACTCTTGGGGCAGGAGCAAGAGTAAAAGGTCTATCCACACATCATTTAACAGGATGTTCGTACTTTGCGGAACTCCACTTTAGACAATTTTATTTTTTATGTGTATTACATTTTTATTATTTTTCATTATTTAATTTGCATCAGACTGTATCATCTATATTTGTCATTATATTAGGTATATTTTTAAACTTTTATTGGTATTTACAAAGATGCTCTTAGATTCAGTTATAACCATGTACTCCATTTTTTCGTATTATTTTGGTGTTTTCTATACCTTTTTGCACTGTTATTTTTACCTATATTATACTTATTGTTTTTTTATTTAATATTGTCTATGCATAGCTAATATTATTTATTGTTACTAGACGTTGTTTTAGTGTCTTATCTTAATTTGTTATTTTCATTTTAATGTCTATAGAGGGAGCTATTGCTCCTCTTATTTCTTTTAGTATATGTGTTCTTCCAGTTTTTGCCTGTAGAGGGAGCTACTGCCCCTTTTATCTTTCTTATACAAATTACATGTCCATCATTTTTTTGGATCCCTCGCTTATCCAGGCAGATGCCATTTTGTTGGAATATAAAAATAAAATAAATTAATTGGTCAAATGACTATAATGTGACAAAACCGTTATTTTCAAAATCCTAACCCTATTTAAACAGCTCAGGTCCCATTCACTCCGTAAAACACTTTTGATAAAGCCTATCCAAGGAGAAACGCATTAAGTGTATTGTTTATAACTTTTTTTAATCACTATTTTATCTTATTGTATACTGTATTACTTTTATTATTTTTTAATATTAAAGTACTTTTTTAATTGGACCTAACTTTGCTGCTGTTGGATTGTTTGGAGCTATATCCCTGGTGGGGATCATACCACCCAAGCACTTTGGATTGAGCAAACCGGAATTTGCTCTTAAGCATGTGAGTAGGTTTAACTTATTTATTTATTTTTACACTCCTTTTTATGGTGTACACTATTATGGTTCTGTTTGTTGATCTCCACATATACATGGATAAAATAATTTATATTTACACCTGTATCCTTGAGTGGGGATCATACTACTTCAAGCGTTATCAGAGGAGCCAGGACGTATGGCTCCATTACACGTGAGTGTACATTTTATAGCTTTTACCTACCCTTGCTCCATAGCTCTACATACTTCACCATAAACAATTTTTATTTGTTTATTTTTTATGAGGATAGCCCCCTACTACACCTATAATTTGCAGAAGTAACTCTGCACTTGATCAATAGGCGAGGATTATTTTGCCCAGGCGCATACAATGGAGCTGTATTGAAGCTCCAAAAAAGTGTGAATGCACATCTTTTATCTTACCTATCACAACTATAGTTTTAAAATACTACACTTTTATTTCTTCTCTGGTTCTCTCCACATATACCTTGTCAAGGATTACTGAAGCGCTGCACCTACCCCCCTGTTTTTATCCACTTTAGACATGCTGGAAAGAATTTTGCAAAAGCAGAGGGCACCACTCGATTGATGTTGACTTCTCACTGGGTAATATCCATTCTTATTCTATTTATGCATATGGTAGCCAATTTAAGCCACAGTGATGCCTGTTTTGGATAGTTTGGTCACCCACTTGTCAGGATACTGAAAGATTGTCAGCAAGTAATAAGTCAACAACCTAACCAAAGGCAAAGCAGGAAAGGATAGGTAAGCATATTACCGTACCATAGAATGGCAGTATGCTTGGCATGTTATCTAGTATTAATATTAACCAAAATATCAGTCCAAGGTTAGATATAACAAATAAATGTACCCTGTAGATACGGAACAATTTAAGAAAGAGGCAAAACAATGTCAGTGTTGGATACAAGCTGGGTCTGGTACACAGGAACACTTAAATCCTGGAACAATAGTAGGGCAGAATAAGGATCGGGAACAAGTTGTGTTTGGTACACAACAACACTAGTACAATGGGCAAGGCAAAATCAGTCAAGAACATATCAAAATAACATGCTTAAATACTATGTAGAGGTCAAATGGAGTTTATATAGCACCAGACACGCCATCATAATTGCATTAGTTTTGTGCATGTGTATTGTGCCAAGTAAGATACCAACTAATTAAGATAAGAAGATCATGGCTAGTGTCACGTTAGCATGAATGATGGGCAGAGTGACCCAAATGTGATGTAGTAAGATTGGTGCTGTGCGTAGATGAAACAATTTGGCCTGAATTTGATGTGGATGCGATATTTTGGTGACTGGACACTGACTTTGAGTGCCTGGTCTGTAGAGAGATGTAGCTGGTGCATCGCTATTGGTAAGAGCCCATGGTATTATGTCACACAAATTTGGAATGTTACTTAACAACGCAGTAATGCTATGGGGACTACCAGACTTGGACACAGATGCATCATTATTGGACCTTACACCACCTCATTAACATGACGGATTACTTCTTCGAAAAGACTGAATTAGTTACTGGTGGGAGACTCCACACCAATGTTGCAGCAATTATTAGTCATTTGAAAGATTCATTCTATGCTCATATAAGCGAATAAGTTGCTAATTGCTGAACTGATGCTAGCTTCCTTGAGTGATCCTAGGATTAATGAGAAAGTGGCACTCCCATCCAACAGTTTGACATACTGGAGGGACAGACTTATTAACACAACCCATAATTTGCAGGAAAAAAAGAGACATGGTGGTTAAGGAAAAAGTGCGCATTGAACCTACCATGTTGCCATAGTCTATTATTCCCAGAAGTTGCCCTACAGCATAATCCCAAGACTGAAGAGTGGAGCAGCTTAGTTTTTGGTCAATACCATTTTAGGGGGAGAAAATAAATCTTCAATTAGCTTGAAATTGTCGAAACGTACATATCTGAATGTGCCTTACCTCCTACTGATGGCCCCCTGAGCTACTGGCATGAAAAGAAGAGTGTGTGACCTGCTCTGTGACACACACGTCTGGCTCATTCACTTCCAGCCTTAAGTATGCCTTTTTTAACAAAGACGACCAATGGAACCGCACTCAATTCCAAGCGAACACCGGGTGCTTAACTGAAGCAGGACCAGCAAATCCAAAATAGTGTCAAGTACAAAGGGAAATATTCAGGCAGTGTTCAACCAGCAAGCAGTTTTATTGGATCAACAGTAGTGACAGCAACATTCTACAAGGTCTTTGTCAGCTTAAGTATGCCTTTAATTCTGAGTTGCCTAAAGTAATTGATGCCAAATTTCAACCTATTTATTGTGTTTATTTTAGATGGGCACCCACTTTACCTACACAACACTGTGAACTCCTCTCTCACTGACTCTTAAAAACACTTATCCAAAAACATATCAATAAATATTAATTTATGAAACTCTGAGAAATTTCTTCATGACCAGAAAGTTAATTTAGAAATCTAGAAGTTTATTTTTCACTTTTTCTTTTGTTGATCCTTATTTATCTCAATTGGGGGTTTCCATAGCACTGATTGCCCTTGTACTACTGAGGTTTCTTGGCATAAACTCTCCATAGCCTTTTAAATGTTTTACCAAGGTAGTCTGGTAACTAATTTGACCTTCACTTCACCTTGATAATGAAATGTGAGAGTACAACTATCTACAGCTAGAGTACAGCTATCTAACCATGTTTATACAGGTGCTGCACTTTCTTACTTTGTGTTTCACACACAAAGACCAAATAAGCACATAATTGCCTGAGGATATCTTTCTGTCATGAACATTATTACAGTAGTCTCGTGTGGTACTGCACCAATACAGCTGTGCCATAAATAAGGATGCTTCTGGGGTAATATAAAAATAAACATTTAAGCTGTGAAATAATATGGAAGAAGTTTGTTTTCGCTTGAGAACATTCTGATTTGTTCATGGCTCACCTTTGCAGTTTTTGTTATCATTGTATTTCTTTGTTTTGCTTTTATTAATCATATTTATACCTTTTGTTCCAGTTTTACAGGCTGAGTGGTCATTCCTGGGAAAACATAAAGATAACGTAATAAAACAATTTTTGAAAGGAGCATATCTCCCAACCTTTCAAATGAGCAAAGAGGGACACTTTAATTTTAGGGCTGTGAGTGGACATATGACACAATACTGTGAATATTATTCGTGTGAAGCTTTGTTATACACACAGACACACCAACAATATGGAGCTCCTAGAAGAGCAGACATAGGGAATTGTGCCCAAAATAGGATCTGTCTTTCCTAAATTGGGACACTTGGGATGTATAAAGGAGGGTGTTTAGCTCATGATTTGTATGCCCTTCTTCAAGTCTTCCCTGTGCTTTGTTTGTCTCTAGTGGCACATGGTGTAATGAGAAAATGGCTAGGATATCCCAGCCAAACTCTGATCTCTGGGTACGCACAGTAAAATAGCACATCCGTGCATTATATTTAGTAGAAGTCAGCTGCAGCTGTTCTGTGCAAGAGTGAGCTCACTTAGCTGGTGCCATTTGTATACTGAAGACATGCTTGGTACACATAGCAGTAAGCATACAACTGTATGCTTACTACTGTCATTGTATTAGAATGATCATAGAAAAGGGTACACTGGCACACAGTGGCGTACACACAACCCATGGGGCCCCGGTGCGAAAACTGATCTGTGACCTCCCTCCCTTCCCCCCCGCATGCTTATTCTGCGTGGGGCACCTGGTCGCAGGGCTGCGACCCCTGTGACCGCGGTATGTACGCCAGTGCATGCAGATACACATACACTTAAAGGACCACTACAGACACCCAGATCACATCAGCTCAATGAAGTGGTCTGGGTGCCAGGTCCCTCTAGTTTTAACCCTGCAGCTGAAAACATAGGGTTAATCACTGAGGGTTAATCCAGCCTCTATTGGCTGTCTCATTGACAGCCGCAAGAGGAGCTTCCGTGATTCTCACTGTGAAAATCACAGTGAGAAGACGATGAATGTCCATAGGAAAGCAATGAGTAATGCTTTCCTATAGGCGGTTTGAATGCGCACGCGGCTCTTGCCAAGCATGCGCATTCGGAGCTGAGAGGCAGATCGGGGTGGAGAGATCCCCAGCGCCAAGGGAGTCCGGCGCTGGAGAAAGGTAAGTGCTTAAGACACACACAAACACTCTCACGAACAGATGCATACACACTAACTAACAGACACACACATTTACTGACAGACACACACTCAGTGACAGACATACATACACACTCACTGACACAGACACACTCACTAACAGAAGCACACAAACTAACACTCAGTAACAGACACTCACAGTAACACACTCACTGACACACTCTAACACTAACACACACACTAACACACACTAACACACACACTTACACTAACACACACACACTTACACTAACACACACACACACTAACACACACACACACACACACTCTAACACACACACACACTCTATAACACTAACACACACTCTAACACTAACACACACACTCTTTAACATACACACTAACACACTCTAGCACACACACTCACACTCTAAAACTCACACACTCTAACACACACACACACACTCACACACTCTAACACTCACACACTCTAACACTCACACACTCTAACACACACACTCACACACTCTAACACACACACACACACACACACACACACACACTCTCTAATACTAACACACTAACACACACACACACTCTAACACTAACACACTCTAACACACACACACACACATGTTTAAAAAAAAAAATGTAATCCCCCCAGCCTCCTTACCCGTGGGAGTGCTGATGGGATTCCCTGGGGTCCAGTGGTGTCACCGGGCAGGCAGGCTGGCGGGCGTGCGAGGGAGCACTCTTCCTGGCTGAGTGCTTCCTGTTCAGCTCCTTCGTGCGCCGCGTACTGATGCTGGAGCCGGAAGATGACATACATACATACTGACATACATACTGACTTCATACTGACAGACATACATGCATACTGACATACACACAGACATACATACTGACATACATATACACTGACACACACAGCTCATTTTTGGGGCTTATAGGAGTCGGCTGTCTCTCCCTCTCTCCCTCTTCAAGGACTCCATTCTATCTCTCCTCCCGCGCGCAGTGAGCAGGGAAGAAGTGACCGGCCGGTCGCGCTATTACACAGCCACAGCGTAGACCGGGCCCCTGAAGATATAGGGCCCATCGGGTGGCCCTAAGTGCGTGGGCCACCTGATGGATTCCATTAGCATGCGCGCCCTGGTACAGCTACACCGGTGGCAGTTTCGCCGCTACACGTGGAGCCCGTGTAGAGGACACTGACACCCACTCAAATTTACACAGAGAGGAAACTGACATACTGAAACTGAACTCTCACTGATTTGACACATACACATTCACTGTCAGATACATTTACACACAGACATTCGCTGACAGACACACACACTTACTGATGTGATACACCATGACGGATACACTCTCATATAACACTAACTGGCAGACACACCACTGACACACACTCTCACTAATTTGACACACACTCACTGACAGACACATACATTTTCTCTCACACACACACAAATCATGATTTTCTTTTTAAATTCTTATTTTTTATTTAAATCCACCCGGTCCCCCTATCTTTGGGAGAGCTGGAGTTGGTCTCTTCCTTGGGGTCCAGTGTGGGGCTGCTGTCATCTTTTTTACGCTGTTTAGTGATGCAGGAAGTAACATCATAACCCAGCTCCTGGCATCACCGCAGAGTAAATGAAGGAGCAGTGATTGAACATCATGACAACATCCGCTCCCTCACCACCTCCACCTTTATTCTCCCCTGGCCAGCTGCCTCCTAGAAGATGCTAAGATGGCCAACTGGTCACCTCTTTGCGTACCCCTTGCCTGTGGTAAGCATAATCTCTGGGGTATGCATACTATGGGTTGAGAAACTAGGCTCTAAAGAGTATCAAATAGAGATACCCTTGAGAAAGACACTTATTGTGTCAAAATCTTGCGTTTTCACTTTGATGGTTGAATAAACCATGCCCCTTTATTGCTGTGTGCTGATGACATTTATTTGATGTTACCTATTGAGATGTGTTTGAACAGGGATGCTACCTTGAAGCAACCACACCAAAATTTAGGGTTCTACAGGAGTACCTACCACTTATTATCTACTTACTATCACAATATTATGTGTGATTTATTGGTATATGGATGTTTCCACTTGATAAAGCCCTGTGTGGGAAAATGGGTTGTGGATGTATTTTTATTTTATTTTAATAAATGAATATTGACTGCTTTTATATTTTGAGTGTGCCATATACTTTTTTTATTTGTTTTACTACCCCTTAAACTGACTGCCATTCTGGCTACTCTTTCAGGATTCAAGGATTATACCACCTACACCTCATTCATTGAGCAGTTTGTCTGCTCAATGAATCGTGAGTACATTACTTTTGTATTTTCTCCTGGTTTATTTTATATGGAGAACACTACTGTCACTTTATTTTGCTTTTTGGGTTCTATGAACAATACGTTCCTGTGATACCTGCTGAACACATCTTTTTGCATATACTGTAAGTGGGGGACCAATACCACTGCACATCTATTATACTAGAGCTGGTGCTAGCGCCACTGAATGTGAGTAAGACAATATAAGACCTCTCAATATAGCACTTAAAGGAACACTATAGGGCCAGGAACACAAACTTGTATTCCTGATCCTTTAGTGTTCAAATCACCATCTAGCCCCCACTGGCTCCCCTTCCCTCCCTAAAATCTTACTTCTATTCAAGTCTGCAGCTGCTGGCTCTGCCCCTGACCTGCCTGCATGTCTGATATTATCAGAAGTGATTCTGTGAGTCACTCACATCACAATGCTTTCCAAAAGGATTGGTCAAGGAGTCAGTTCAGGGACACAGCCCTGGCCAATCAGCATATCCTTAGTGTATGCATGCAGAGGGTGGAGACACTAAACGGCAGTACTGCACAGTGTGCACCTCTAGGAGTCCAGTGGACTTATCCTTAGGCTTAATGTAAACACTGCATTTTCTCTGTTTTTTACATGTCCACATGGATTCCAAGCACTTTCAGAGACCTGACTTTTTTTTAAAAAAGAAGCCACAAAATTTGGACTGCATCCTGCTGCTTGCATGCTGTCGGCCTCTCTATCCAATGGCCATAATTGGCTGATAGCACAATGATAGTTTCTCTCTCCTATGTTACAGTGCCCACAAGAGACAGAAGCAAGAAGCCAATCTTGAAAGAAGAACAGAGAGAGCACAGCAGCAGCTCCTGATATTTTCTCTCTACTAATAGTCCCACTGACTGCACGAGGGGTGATTGAGCAAGGGAATTTACTCAAATATATAATTAATTTAAATAAAACCAGTGGTGACGAGAGGAGGGGGACATTTATGTAACAGAGAACAGTCACTAATAGTGTTAATAACTCCTACTGCACACACCCACCATCTTCTTTAAAGTGCTCAGTTAGTCATCAGCCGAGACTTGAGACCCTCATGCTGCATGGTGGGGTTTGGTGTGGGTGGATAGGGCCTGGAGTGCATGTTGTGAGATGCATACATAAAAACTACAAACCTGGCCTTACCTGTATTGTGGGGAGATAGAGACTGTAGTGGATGGAAATGGGATTCCAGGATTACTTTGTGCCCGGGAGAGGAAATGCTGAGCATAATTAGGGACATGTCTGTCTTTGGTGGTCTAGTGGTGAACGGCTCTAGCCTGCACCTCCACTGGTTGCAGACTGAGCATACTCTTCTTGTGAACTCGAGCACTGTGAAGTATTAAAGCATTTCTGTGGTAACCCATGAACTGCACAGAGGTCCCAACGCCAGCTAGGATAGTTTATTCATCAGCCTTTAGAAGTCACTGATGGGAGCCCAGTTTACAGCACAAAAAGATTTTAGAAACTCCTGCTGCACTAGAAACTTACCTGGATCATGAATTTATAGTATTATAACAAATAAACTTACATTCCAGTATAACCCTCTCCTCAACATATATTATCACCTACCCTGTCACCCCTGTGTTCATCCCCCTTTATTACACTCTCAACTTGTCACATTCCACCCACCTCACTTTCAAATCTCTTATAATGTACTGCCTAACACACTATACAATCACCTACCTCCATCAAGTATGTGACATACCCATTCTTCTCATTTCCAAGTCACACCTCTATTGTAACATACTACATGGCCTTCAGTCCTAATTCACACTGGCCCACAGCCCCGTTACCACTAAGTCATACTATTAGGGTGAAGGGGTGTTAGGTTAAAGAGGGGTTAATTTTAGTTATATTGCACAAGACATTTAGTGTTAAGAGGAATAGAAACTTGAGAGGGGTATAGTTCTTGGGTGTTTAGCACTGTTAGTTTTAGGGCTTAAATTTGGTATATAAAAGGAGGTAAAAGTAGGATTAATGTAATAGATTTTTTTTTCAGTTTTAGGATTTGAGGCTTACATTTAGAATGAGGGTAGGTCTGGGGTACAGGCCTGTTGAGTTTAAGGGTTATTTGCAAAATACTCACCCTCCTAGAACTGCAGATTCATTACTTAGGGCTGACCCTGATCCTCCTGCAACTCATTTCCTGTGAAGGTTTTTAGTGGGCATATGGGACGTGATCCCTTCCACTTCCTGTCCAGCTTCATACCCAGACACTGAAAGAGATGGGACAGCACTGTGTGCAGCTCTGCTATCAAACATAGGAGGCTGACTGGACTACGGAAGAAACTGGCCAAAGCTTTTGGTACTTATCTCTTCTCACCAACCCACTTAAGATCCAAAAAGACACATTATAGGTGGTGTAACTAGGCTCCCCTTACAGGTCAGGTACCTGTAGGCAGGTTGCACACAATTAGAAGAGGGAGCAGCGCCTTAAAATGTCCTCGGATGTTGGTAAGTATGCAAGACAAAAAGACAATACAGAAGGTATATAGTGTAGTTTCTCAGATGTGAGTAGAAGATTAAAAAGGGGATTACAGTGTATACTGCTATTAGTTAGCTCTATTTCTGGGTGCCTGGGCAATGCAATCCTCGCCTAAGAATGTATAGTATATGTCTGGGTCCAGTGTCCACCATAGTGTTGTATAATTGGTGTAGGAGGTAGGATAAATATGAATATGGACGCACTTAGTGTAATATAACAGGTATGAAATAGATTGGAGAGGTACATACTGGTGTAAAGCAAAATATTAGTTTTGTTCAATCCTCAGGGTATAGGGTATAGCAAGGAAGTTGTACAAATTCCAAGAGAAAAGTCAGAATTGGGTGCCTACTATGCCTAATGGAACACCAGCCCTGCCTGTTATAATCCTAAATACAGATATTCATAGTAAGTTTTCAACTGAATTATAGAAATGCATGTCATCAACTACAGCAAGCCTCTCAACTGTCCCGACTTCAGTGGGAGAGTACTGATTTGTGGGTTTTGTTCCTCTGTCCCAATCAGGGAATTTACCCCAACAAGCATAGTGCGAGCACATGATTAGATGAGCTTGCACTATATTCAGGGCACCGGGAACCTGCAAAGAGGCCTCAGACAGTGATTCCAGTAGGGTTTGCCCTCTGGGGGCTGACCTTAAATTATTGGCAAACAGCCTGTTGTGAATTCATGCCAGGCTGACCTGCCAGTAATTTGGATGGACCTGCCATTTTCCTGGTGGGCCTGTTCTCTTTGGGTTGAACCAATGACATGATTGTTTTACTGGCACAGCCCTCACATAAGAACAAGAATCGGCATGCTGGATTTGCAAGGTTTGACTTCATTACAAATATCCATATGCTTTGAAACAAGTACATTATCCTGCATGTTCTGCATACATTTTGAAAAAGATCCACAAAATATCTCTTACATGGTTTCTTTTCTTTTTTTTTTTTTTAAACATAAAGGTTCCTTCAATACATTTTGACTTTCTGCTTTAAAACAAAGCGGCTATTGAAGTTGTGGTAAAAAAGAGTCTTAATAAAAGGTGTTAATATCTTCATCGTGGCATGTACAGCTCACAACTTTCAAAAGCTATCAGTTTGGAATGTACTCAAGGGTATGCTTGTAATTAATCAATCCTTCTATTAGAAAAAGCAAAATATCTTAACAGATAATTGGCTTAAACAAGTAAACCTGGGGTATAAATACAAGTAAAATTTACCATGACGCTGGAATCTATTCGTTTCAAAATGAAGACGCTGCTGATTTTAAGTTTTATTGTAGACTGCTTAGCATCTCATCTCCATCGAAAATTACCTGTCAGGTATGTACTAACAGAAATATTCATCTGTAAAGTAAAAATACAGGCTTTTCATTTGTCAGAAATCAGATTCATATAGAAATTATACATTATTTAAAATTCCAATTAATGGAATTGCCAGGCGCAAAGAAACACTCCAAGCACCATAACCATTACAGCCTTCTGTATTCATTAATCAATGAAGAAAATGTAATTCTAGAGGTATGTTTGTGCACAAGCCATTTTTTTTTTGTTGGACATAAAGTTGTTTGATTTAGTGGATCCACTGGGTTGTTTCAGCAGCCAATTATAGCTAGAATTCTGGAAGTAGAGATTGTGGTTACTAGAAAGATAAAATACTTTCCCCTGAATGCAGTGTTGCCTCGTTGGCTTCCAATCAGCCTTCTGGAATACTTTCTTTGTGGATGGCCATATCCATTAAGTTAAATTTTTGCATCTGGTGTTTGCACTAACAGCACACACAGTGGGCTAATCCCAGTCACCTTGGACAAGGCTGCTCATTGCTGGGTGAGTTATACACACATGGGTTTTTTACTAATGCGAGTATTCAATTGTATTTCACATTTAAGATCAAGGTAGCTGAACCAAAATGCACAGCTAGGTTTGAGAATTTTCCAGTTTGAGCTTCTATGGCCTGCTACCTGGCTTATAGAATTTTTCTAGTTTGGCTATTTTGACCTCTTCTACTGCCTGCTCACTTGCTTATAGAATTTTTCCAGGTCAGCTATATTTGATATCTTCTGCTGCCTGCTACCCAGCTCTTGACATTTTTTTCTCTCTAGCCTCTAGCTCCTTAGACCTTAGAAAGATAAATTCAGAAAAAACAAATATTAGTCGGTTTATGGTTTTTGCCAGAGGAAATAAGAAAACTCACAAGCCACCCTGTTGGGAATTTATGTTCCAAGTGTTTCCCTGTCCCCACTTAACTACAGCTCCCATCAAATATCCAATTAAGTACAAGTGTGCCTTCCCCTGCTCAATTACAGCTTCTATCATAATCAATCAGTGAAATCCAGGCTGGGGCTGAGTGAAGGGAGAGGGCTGCTAGTTTGGATACCTAAAAATTTATATTTAAGAATAGTACTTGAACTAATAACCCTAACTTATGATTTTTTTCCTTTATATACAAATGCCTACATTTTTAGCCACCTTTCTTTATAAACTGGACTGAAGATTTGTTCCCTGTATTTTATTGGGAAATTCCCAGCACTTACTTGGAAGCAAATTCTGGACAAAAAAAGGTGCTGGATCTTAATTTTGTTTAGTGGCCACTTCTGCAGGTAATAAAATATTTGTGTGAATTTTAAGAAAGGCATATTTTTTTGTAACAATTAATTACATGCATTAAAAACATCTATGGCCATTTTTGAATATACATACTTTCAGATTTACCTATAAATTTTACAGGGATAAAAATGTGATCTCGTCCAGTGTTAACTATCATTAGCAATTAACCAGAAAGCAGCCTGGTTTCACTGCTAGGGTTTTATTAAACTGTTCGTAACTCTATACTTTATGCTTGCAAGTGTATAGATTTTAATATAAAATATTTTTTTTTAAATGCCCCCTCTGTCATTTGTCAATCAATTCTCTGCACAGATGTTTATTCCAAGAAAGTTACAGGTGGTTCTCCTGCTATCTGTCAGAGTGCAGCTCTCTAGACAAGCCCATCTGACACTTGCTGTAGGATTATAAGATCTAAGTGACCAATATCACTCAATTATGATGGTGATATATAGCAGGGCCAATCTCTGTACAGAGGTGTAGTAGCAAGACTGGACCACAGGTTGGGTGTTATAAAAATGTGGGACGTCTGACAATGACGATGCTGGCACACTGGACAGATAGTAAGTCAAATCATAATAGTTCGTAAGACCATTTAACATATGATTTAGCTTTATTAGAAATTATCTGCAGTATTCACGAAATTGTGAATTGTCCAGAATTTAAAGTGAATTCAAAGTGAATTTCAAATTGTAAACCAAAATACCCAAACTGAAGGCAGAGCTGAGAAAGAGAATTTTCTAGCTCGACTATAATGGCTTAAAATTTAAAATTCACATTGAATTTCCTTTGAATTTCCTAGTAGTCACATTCAGGTAAATAATCTTTTTTATATTTCTTGCTTAAAGGACCACTATAGTGACAGGAAAACATACTCGTTTTCCTGGCACTATAGGGTCTCTAGGCCCCCCCCCCAACCCTTAGGGTCCCCCTCCCGTCAGGCTCTAGGTTGAGGAAGGGGTTAAACACTTACCTTTTCTCCACCGCCGGGCTCCCTCAGTGGTGGGGACTCTCTGCCTCCTTTCCCCGTCATCGGCTGAATGTGCATGCGCGGCAAGAGCCACGTGCGCATTCAGCCAGTCCACAGGAAAGCATTTTCAATGCTTTACTATGGACACTGGCGTCTTCTCACTGTGAAAATCACAGTGAGAAGCTCGGAAGCGCCTCTAGTGGCTGTCAATAAAACAGCCACTAGAGGCTGGATTAACCCATAGGTAAACATAGCAGTTTCTCTGAAACTGCTATATTTACAGCAGAAAGGGTTAATCCTAGATGGACCTGGCACCCAGACCACTTCATTAAGCTGAAGTGGTCTGGGTGCCTATAGTGGTCCTTTAAGGAGCTGTTATAGGTTTAGTTTAACCCAGGGGTAGGCAACCTACGGCACTAGTGCCACGCACGGCACTTAAGGTGTCTTTGCATGGCACTCAAGGCTGCTACAGCCAAACAGGCTCTGACCTATCAGGAGTCCCAGTGAAACTTCAGATATCTGCTAATACGAAAAGGTGTTGTTATAGGTTTAGTTTAACCCAGGGGTAGGCAACCTACGGCACTAGTGCCACGCACGGCACTTAAGGTGTCTTTGCATGGCACTCAAGGCTGCTACAGCCAAACAGGCTCTGACCTATCAGGAGTCCCAGTGAAACTTCAGATATCTGCTAATACGAAAAGGTGGTGAAGGACAATCCTCAATATGTGCATTGCAGATCACTTCCTCCCATCACTTGTGAATGGGAATCCACACTGTAGAGCAGCCTGTTGCAGCTCCTGTCCTTGGCCTGTACCTGGCCAGCATGGTCCCCATTGGAACCCAGGGAAGCCAAGCACACTGCTAGATTTACACAGAAATGCACAATAACCCTCCCCTCATACAAATAATACGAACAGCCCACAAGCAAACATACATACAGTCCGCACAAACGTAATCCGCTCACAATCCACATACATGCACACAACCCCACATGCAGTCTCCCACATGCAATACTCCAAACAGCCTCCACACATACACACACTACCAAACACACAATGTGACATATCCATCCACACACACAATTCCACAAGCAGCCCCCATACAGAGCCCAAATTCATATGTATCATACACGATACCATAAACTACTCCTGAACATATACAATATAATAGCTCATATACACACAAATACAACAATACAAAGCAATTACAGTATAAATAACACAAGCAGAATACGGCAGCATACAAACCTCAATTTAAAAAAAATAGGACTGGCACGCTACGGGACATCACAATCCTATATCGGCACAGTGCTGCTAAAAGGTTGCCTACCCCTGGTTTAACCTATCATGGCAGGTTCATTTTAAATAACGAGACTGGCAAGAAGCATTACAAGTAAAGTTACAGTTAAAAAAAAATGTCAATGTGTTAGAACATCATAAGGTAAACCAGGTGTATTATATTGACAGGAGAAATCCTAATGGTTCTAACGTGACAATGCAGTAAAATCCATCTAGGTTTGGACTTTGTGCATAATTCTTTATATAAAGTGACATCATGCTTAAGACTTGCATGTCAAGCTAGCGCTGATAGAAAGCAGATGTCAGTTTTATATTTTGTGAAACATGTCAAGCAGAAAAAGAGGAAGAGAGACAGCGGTATGCTTTGTTTAATGCTCATGGTAGATAGGGTGTCATTTTCTACACCGTAATCAACCCTTGACAACCTTGGGGACCACATTTAATGGGAAGTCCAAGGGTTTAATTATCTAAGGCAATGAGTTTGTCAATTTGCATATAATCAGGTGCCTTGCGGAGAACCCTTGGGGTCTGGGATAATTTAGATTTCAAATACAAACAGAGAGAAACGAGTTCCATTGTTTGTAGTAAACAAAAAATAATCTTGGGCTTCAACACAGTTCAAAATACTTAGGATGCACTCTAAATCCACATGTATTCATGGGAATGCAAAGGTTAAAATACCCAAAATTGAAATATAACTGACTTGCAAAATCTTAGCTATTTTGACCTAAAATTTTAAATTAATTTTGAATTCCTCTCAAAACAAACATTTAATAAATAATACAAGTGAATAATAAGAGCTTTTCAGTGAAGCTTCCCATATATCCTCCCAAACAGATCCACTAGGGTCTCTATTATAAAAAGCATTGTGTAATCTGATTTCTATGTTAGATGATACATTTATATATATATATATATATATATATATATAATATTTTACCAGGAATGATACATTGAGATTTATCGTGTTTTCAAGTATGTCCTGGGCGCACACACATTCCATTGTTACAATAGGGTACAGTATAATATTAACAATGCAAGGTAACATTAAAATACACATACATTTAGCATAAAACAGGTAAGAAATATAATCAACCATGATTACAGGTCTGTACGGAGATTTGTTGACAGAGATCTCTTAAATACCACTTGAAGTCTTCTAAATACAAAAAATGCAGCTTCCATATATATCTAGTAGTGGGGCTGCACTGCTGAGAGTGGATCAACATGAGCATATTTTATTACTTACCTTTTAGTATTTTCTCATTCATTTACACTATATGTGTTTTTTTGTTTCTCTGTATGTTCTATCATTGAGGATCACTACCAAGATCTATATACCCATAGGTGGGAAAGGCCCTACTATCTATATAAAAACAGAGTGGTAAACCGCGCTAAAGACATATTGAAGATAAATAGAATATTACAATAATATATACATACATACAGGATATCCAATGGTATGGTGGTGTATATAACCCTCAAAAGAAATAAAATACAGAACAATAATAGTGCAATATGTCAATAATAAAATAACATAAATGAAATGGATAAAAGTCAGTTGAAGGACTAACTCACACTTTCCAGAGCTACTTAGAGCTCTGCCGTATAGCACCTGGACAGTACAATCCCCGTCTTGGGATATGAGGAGCGTGGTATAATATGGTATCCAATTTTCCTCGATCGTCTATGTAGAAAGAATAAAAAATAGAATGCAATAGTTTAGTATGTACAGTACAGTGGTAATATATTGAGAAAAGTAGGTATCCTACTTACAAATTCCTAAATCCGTGAGTGCTGGTCACATAGTTACATAGTTACATAGGTGAAAAGAGACTTGCGTCCATCAAGTTCAGCCTTCCTCACATTTGTTTTTTGCTGTTGATCCAAAAGAAGGCAAAAAAAAACAGTTTGAAGCACAATTTTGCAACAAGCTAGGAAAACAAATTCCTTCTTGACCCCAGAATGGCAGTCAGATTTATCCTTGGATCAAGCAGTTATTACCCTACATTGAAAGATTATATCCTTGAATATTCTGTTCTTGCAAGTATGCATCTAGTAGCCGTTTGAACATCTGTATGGACTCTGATAAAACCACTTCTCAGGCAGAGAATTCCACATCCTGATTGTTCTTACAGTAAAAAAACCTTTCCTTTGCCTTAGACGAAATCTTCTTTCTTCCAGTCTAAACGCATGGCCTCGTGTCCTATGTAAAGTCCGGTTTGTGAATAGATTTCCACACAATGGTTTGTATTGGCCCGAATATATTTGTATAATGTTATCATATCCCCTCTCAGGCGACGTTTTTCTAAACTAAATAGGTTTAAATTTGTTAACCTTTCTTCATAGCTGATATGTTCCATTCCTTTTATTAATTTTGTAGCCCGCCTCTGCACTTTTTCTAGTGCCATAATATCCTTCTTTAGAACAGGTGCCCAAAATTGCACAGCATATTCAATACCAGTGATTTATAAAGAGGCAAAATTATATTCTTGTCCCGAGAATGAATGCCCTTTTTCATGCATGACAATACCTTACTGGTCTTGGCCACTGCTGATTGACATTTCACATTGTTGCATAGTTTGTTGTCTATAACAATTCCCAAGTCCTTTTCATGTGTTGTTATCCCTAATTCGCTTCCATTAAGGGTATACGTTGCTTGTGTATTCTTTACGCCGAAGTGCATAACTTTGCATTTTTCAACATTAAATTTCATCTGCCATTTGAGTGCCCAGTCCCCAGTCTATCTAAATCCCTCTGCAGCAAAGTAATATCTTGCTCACATTGTATTGTTTTACAAAGTTTTGTGTCATCTGCAAACACTGAAACATGACTTTCAATGCGGTCTTCAAGATAATTTATAAACATGTTAAATAGAAGGGGTCCCAGAACAGACCCCTGAGGGACACCACTTGCCACCTCTGTCCAGCTTGAAAATTTACCATTAATGACAACTCTTTGGTATAAGGATATATATATATATATATATATATATAATTATTTTATTTTAAACATACTAATTGGCAGCACTCAGAGGACTTCCAAAAAAGAGTCTTACCAATGAATGTCCAAAAATCTATGTTTCCACCTTATAGGGTAATTATCAAGACCTATCGATTTTTGGACATGTATTAGTAAAGACTCTTTTGCAGGTCCTCAGAGTGCAGTCAGTTATGTTTATTTATATTTGCGTGGGTTAGCACCTACGCATATTGCAGTTTTTTTATACTTTTTGTTAAGTGCTGGAGTTTTGTATATTAATATGTATTTGGTACAGAGTATTGTGGCATGATGTATATGTCTCTTTACATTACAGTTACCATATTTGGCCTTTTATCTCGGACTTCTATATGTAATTGATCATGACCAGTGGTCATTGTTACATTGTTACACTTTTCAATAAAAATCTAAAAAAAAAAAAAAAGCTTTTCAATTAACTTTTCTACTGTGCTAAGACTCCGTTGGTGCTGCTATACATGACATCATCTGTCTCTCTCGCAGAAGGTCCAATTCAAAGCTCCTCATAGAGGAGTATTAGGGACTGATGCGCAACAATTAAAAGTATGTATAACCTTGCAAAGTAAATATTACAGTTTCTACAAAATAGCAATGTTTTACATTGCAGGGTTAAAACAACACTGTCACTGTGGAGGACAATTGCTGCCTATTGTGTCCCTCTAAAGACATTATAACAATCAGCTATATGCTAAGCTACCACTGACAGAAAAATATCAATTTTACATTTTTTTTAAGTCAATAAGACATAGGGGAATTGAAAGAAAAACATAAACAAAAACAAATGATTAGCAGAGAGTTCAATATATATGATGGATTGGCTGTCAATATCTACAATTTAATCAACCTAAGACCAACAAAGTCTATGGAAAGTCTTAGAGATTAATCATCTAGAGCCATGATCTTGTCTGTTTGCATATTATCTGTTATCTGCAGGAGTACTCTTGAGGTATCTGCCACTATCTTTACATATTCTGGCCTTTCACAATCTGGCATCTGTGTGGGTGACCTCTGATTCCACATGGAAATTGTAGCTCTTGAGTGAAACGTTGTCCACTCCACCTTCTACTGTAATGATATCAATATTATGGTAACAGCAGTCTTCACTAGTCCACCTGATAGGAACTTAGCAAAGATTACATTTAACATGGATGCTGTACTTCACCTACCCAAAGGATCGCGCTAACAGATATCAAGTTCTCTTTAACCACTTAAAATGGCAGAGAGAGTCATCAGGGAATATCTCTTATAGAAGGATTGCTGAAGGGGTCAGAACTACCCAGCATAATAGCAGCTTTCATCTTCAAGACCTTGGGCCTACATTTTTGTGAAAATGATTAGCAATGAGTACCGCTTCTTCCTTTTTATAAGAAATCTGTCAGGATACAGATTTATAGGTGCTTTAATTCAAGCCCAGCAAACCTTGATAGAAGGGTGATTAGGCTTTCCCCAAAGCCCTCCAGTATTTTCTGTTTGTCTCCAAATTAATTGGGGAATGTGAGGGTAGTCCAGTTACATTTACTATGCTTTGGTAGTTAGATAATAGCCAAGGGAAGGTTTTAATAAAACTTTGAACATACATTTTAAACCATTCATGTAAAATCAAGTAATAGTGGCTATCAATTTATTAGTATCCCTGCAAAAGAGCTCACGAGTCACGATGGCTGACATACCCACGGGACAAGACATGTTAATGGTTAATAAATTGGTGTCAGCAAAGAAATCATTTAACAAGTTTCATACATTCAAGTCAGCATACCTGAATAGATAATGAGATCAATGTTTAATGTTACCCATAACTTCAGCATGACAAATGGATGTTACAGCAAGCACATTATTTATATTGCTGGATTCTTAAGTATTTCATTTATACCTGCGCTCACGGCCTTGTCATTTCTTTTCAACACTTAAAAGGATTCTAGAGGTAACAATTTTAATGATCATGCATGCTATTATTTCCGTTATTCAGAGTAATTTTATAAATCATATTTTTTGTGAATTTTAGTTTTAGTGTGTGAGGACATTTAGTCTTATAGAAAAAAAAAAATATATATATATATATATATATTTTGTGTGCTTGTTTATCTTTTCTTTAACTCCTAAAAAACCTATCTCTGCAACCAGCAATACAAGATTTACATCACATTGCATGTATTTTTCAGAGCATGCATTGCTTCAAAAGGTTATTTTTTTCTGAAATACCTAAATTAAATATTAACCAGCAGCCTAAATGTCTCTCAAATTTATTGTAATAAAAAAGGACTATTCTAAAGGACCTTCTGTCTCGAGTGTGCATCCTAAATCAAAACTATCTGACTGCAAATTGTTACCGAACATCTTCTTAGCATGGTATTAATCAGTTGCTATAAATTTCTTCATTAGAATTGTCAAAAGAGCCAGTGGCATCTTTAATCAGTTGCCAAGCAATTAGTTGAATTCAGTATCACTACCTGCATCTAATTGAATTTATTGTTATTTTGTCAAGATAAATAGCATTTTGAAAGTCATCTAGGCTCCTTGGCTAATTCATCATTGTTATACTAAGGAATAGACTCAAGTATAAACAGATTAATTTTTTTAGGCAGTGAAAAATTGAGGTGCCAGAGGAGACTGTGGCACCAGGAATTCTCAAGGATCCTGTCAGCTTTTGGTGAAATGCGTAAAGTGAGATCTGGGAATTAATGTGTTATTCGGCCACAGAGAAGTCTTCTTTGAACCCTTTGTGTATGTTGATGTTTGATGCTTTGAACATTCATCTGGCAATCAGTATTAATTCTATTCTTTTTATCTCTTCAGCACTTCTTCTTACTTCTTCCTTTAAAGGGACACAGTTATCTATACAGTATGTTCTTTAAGATATGCTAAGTGCTTTCTGAACTGCAAGCAAATTATAGCTATGAAGAAAATGTCTTATGTTTTATCTCATACTGTATATCCTGGCCTAATGGTTTAACAGGACTGTAATTATAACATTTTAGACGATTCACCTGTAGTTGAATTATCCAAGTTCTATAGCATCCTGGGTTATCTCTGACTTCCCATATCCACCCCACACATTGTTGTGAGGTATGTTCACACCTCACATGGGCACCAGTCTCAGGGGCTGATTGACACCTTGAGTTTCAGAATATTTCACAGACCATTTGGCCAGATGATCAAGGTTACCCAATGGCTGACTACATGGGTGCAGGGCCAACATCACAGCCAATACATTAGTAAGGGGCCTGACCAAGAAGTGAGGCACGTGTGAGTCCCTCTGTCAGTGCCTAAGGCGCCAGCTCAGTGGGTGCGTACCAATGGAGCGATGGCAGCTGAATGAACTGTCAGGAAGTCGCTGAGGAAGGAGAACTTGGTCTGTACTTCCAGGCTAAGCACTGCTCTTTCTACTGTATGAAAGCGTTACTGTAGGTTACTACAGCAACGCTCTTATACAGTTCCTAGCGCTGGCTGCCACCTGGAAGGAACTGTTGTAGATGTAGACATTCTGCATTTCCCACTGGACCACCAGAAAACAAAATTCCCCATCCCTTTCCCAAGTCAAGCCTCGGGGAGGGGGAAGAAACATAATTTAACGTTTTGTTTAATTATCTGTTTAATTCCTACCAGGCCTTTATTAACCCACTACATTCCCTAACCTCCCACTTCAGCTGTTAACCACCCCACTACAGGTCCTAACTCTCCACTACTGCCCTTGACTCACACTACAGGTCTTAACCCCCACTACAGTGCCTAACCTTCTACTACAGGTCCTAACTCTCCACTACTGACCATCACCCACTCTACAGGTCCTAATCCCCATTACAGCGCCTAATCCCCTACTACAGGTCCTAATCATCTGCTAATGCCCCTGACCCCCACTACAGATTCTAACCCCCTACTACAGGTCCTAGCCACCCACTACTGCTCCTGACCCCCTACAAGTTCTGAACCTCCACTACAGCCCCTAACAGCCAACTACATATCCTGACCTCCCTCTACTGCCCCTGACACTCATTACAGGTCCTGACCCCTCACTTCAGCATATAACTCCCAACTTCAGCCCTTATATCCTACTACAGCCCCTATCCCCAACTACAGCCCCTATCCCATCACTGCAGTCCCCATTCCATTACACACAGCCAGCCTTATACAAAACACACAGAAATCCACAACACACACCTCACACATAGCTAAAACACTTATGGCCACCCCACACCTACACAACACACCACACATCCACTCAACATTTTAATAAACATTCACATAAAATTAAAAAATAACAGATTTTCCCAGGCCGGGCGCCCATGGCCGCTGCGCAGCCATTACTCACAGACTCCATCCAGCCCATCAGGCTAGGTAGCACACCACAAGGGTGCAGCGTCTGTGTGTCCCCTCTGCCCTCGTGCATCAGCATAGAGCTACAGGGAGTTGTGCAGTTAGTGCAGAATGTGATCACAGCAGCAAACCATGGAACCTCAGGAATCATTATTTCAATACAAATCAAATAAGTGAATGTGTGTATATGGCTATATGTGTGCATGAATGTGTACATTAATGTGAAGTATCTTTGGATTAATATAAATATTGTAAAAAGGGATGGGACATATGTGATGTCATGACATGGGCGAATGCAATGGGTGGGACAATGTGATGTCATAACATGGGGGTAAAAAATGGTGTGGGGGCGGAGAAATTATGCTTCATCATATCCCCCTTCTCTGGCTCCGATACAGCACTATAAACAAACCTCTGTTTTTGTGATTATTTTGAAGTTTTGTGAATTTTTTTCTTTTTCTTTTTTCTTTAAAATACCTTTAGCACACTTGCTACTCAGTTCTAGTGAGAATCTAATCAGAGAAAGTTAGGTATTTAAAGTAAGTCACTGTTTTCTAATTTATGTTTATTTCAATGGCAAGAAAGCTATAAGAAATCTCACCTCGCTCAGGTGGGAGAAGAAGTATTTTCCCCGAGAAGTGGTGATGTAAAATTTCAGGCTGTGGGTTTATCAGAAATATTGACTTTTTTCTACTTAATGAATTTAGTGTGAATGTCATTTTCAGTAAAGCAAAACAAAAAGTATGCCATGAAACATCATATTTCCATCATTGCATAGATCTCCAAGAAGGCTATAAGGGGACTTATTGACTAGACAGCTAATACAACTTAAACTCCTTATTTCTCTTCTCATTTTATACTCTATATATCATGTAAAAGAAGATAAATATTTTATTGCCAACTCCCCTCTGGCATTGTATGTGCCGTTGAGATCATTTTGGATATATCTGTAAATACTTGTGTGGCGGCCACTGCAATGGGAAGAGGGGTTCTGCCACCAGAGATGTTCTTTTCCGCCTAGTGGGAGGGATGCTGTGATGCAGAGCAGGAACAGCTCTTACAAGAGCTAGTGATTTAGCACTCCAAACAAAAGAGAGGCAGCTGTTGTTGCTTTCTCCCACAAACATGAGACAAGACTCTAGGCTGTGAAACAACTGGTTTTAATGGAGCCACACACGGTCTTTTATGTCACTCCCTATGCAAGGGGCATTCCTTTCTGGACCTAAATGCTTGTTAGGAACTAGGGCAGCCAAGACAGGAGCATTACTTAAAGGACCACTATAGGCACCCAGACCACTTCAGCTTAATGAAGTAGTCTGGGTGCCAGGTCCATCTAGGATTAACCCTTTCTGCTGTAAAAATATGGGTTAATCCATGTCTCATTGACAGCCACTAGAGGCACTTCTGCGCTTTTTTACTGTGGGAGAAGGCCTGTTGCTTACCTTCTAATAACTGACAAGCCTGGCCCCTCTCTGCCTCCCTTAACCTATCTCCTAGCTTCACCTGACTGATGAGATCAGTTTGAGCATCCCTTTCTAGTAAATCGGGGAGGGGGAGACTCTGGGTCCTCTGTAACTGGGGCACATACTGCGGCTATGTCTTCCTGCCTGAGGTTTGTCTTGTCTGGTAGGGTTTAGCACCAGGACTTTCTGCCCCACCCGGAATGTACGCTGTTGTGCACCCCTATCGTACCAAACCTTCTGTCGCTCCTGGAGATCGTCCTTTACCAGCCTAGCCAACTGCTCCATGCGGTCCCTAAGCTCCAGGACATGTGGCATGATGGAGGTTCTTTCGTGTTCCGTTTCCCCTTCCCAGTGTTCCCTAATGAGATCAAGAGGTCCGCCACCAGAGATGTTATTTTCCCTCTAGTGGGAGGGATGCTGTGATGCAAAGCAGGAACAGCTCTTACAAGGGCTAGTGATTTAGCACTCCAAGCAAAAGAGAGACGATGCTCTATGCTGTGAGACAACTGGTTTTAATGGCGCCACACACGGCCTTTTATGTCAATCCCCATGCAAGGGGCACTCCCCTCTGGACCTGTGAGTAGACTACAGTAAAAACAAACACACAGTTACATTGGCTCTCAGGTCCAGGACACTCCCATACAGAATAAGATAATCCCTCCCCTGTGCCCAGGAGAAAGCTGAGTCATGAACTGTATTGACTCAATTATCTCCAGACCCAGATAACATCCATTTTAGCAGTACCCCGAAAGTATCCTCAAATCCCATGGAAATCCCACAAAGGTTACATCCCCTGATAGCCCCGATCTGGGATACCAACATATCCAAAGATCACCCAGATCAGTTCAGGGGTTCGAGATTTCCATGGAGGTCACATTTTGACCGACTGCACACGAAAAGTTCAGTGAAATAAGGCTGTGCGGTCAGTCTCTTTCGGGAATACACAATACAGTCAAAATACCGAACGTAGGGGCTCGTGGGTAGGGTCAGTCTATGTTCCTTGTTCAAGTGTGTGTTCCCACCGAACGCCGCTCTTCCCATATGAATCCAGACGAACATATGTAGATATGGAAGTCCCAGCGGTACACTGTATGTGTTCGCGACTAAAGATGGCTGCCGCACGTGTTCGTATACCGAATGACGACCACTCAGCCGACTACTTAGAACGCATGCTGTTTTAGAAGTGTTAAGGAGGTGATAGATGTTAATGAATGGCACACTCCACAAACGGGTGGTCTGGTCATTCAGTAGTTTGTTCGATTCGAGAATGAAATAAAAATAAAACGAAGGAGAAGGCAATGTCCCGAACCCATAGGGGAATGAAATAAAGGGGTTAAAATCCAGGCACAGGATAATCCGTCACAACTCTGCAATGTCCTAAGAAGATTATACTTTATGGTAGACGTAATGTAAATGAATATTCCTTTACAGCTAAATGTTGCTGGAGGATGTAATACATCTGTCACACCTCATCAGACTCCTTACACTACACATTCATGTTACATTCTTACAGCAGAGTCCCCTCATTTCCGAAACCTGGAGTATTCTACTTCCTTTATTAGCACATACTCTTATGATCCCCAAATATCTTTTACTATCGAATGCTTACCTTTGCCCTTTTACAAACCCTCTCTACAATAATATCACATCCAACTTTTCATCATACTTTTCTTTAATTGGTCAAATAAGAAACAGTTTCTATCATTTCCCCCTCTTGCCTAAAACCGTCAACTCTTTTTCTTCTTTTAATAGAGTTAATTTTCTCCAGCCAACAAACCTGAAAGTTCGGCATTTATTCTGTCTTCTCGCCTCACCACAGGGGCAGATCCAGAACCCAATCTCAGGAGAGGCACTGGAAAATTATTTTATTTCATAGTGATATTTTTCATATTAAACCCAGCCCCACATCTTAAAAGTTACACCTGATTTATCACCCACACCTCCCCCTCCCCCTCCCCCCCCAACCATCCCCACTGCTTGCAGCTCTGCTTTCGGCACTTTGCACTATACTAAAACAACCCTAATAAATGTGACTAACACATTATGTCCATATGATGGAACTAATGTGTTTGCTAACATAGGTGATTTGAAGTAGCTTTATACATTTAAAAACTGTATTTAAATACACATGTACAGTTGCATGTGTACGCTGCTCCTTAGTCTATAAATGAAACAGAGGCATCCCAAAAACAGCTCAAGGAAATAACAAACAAACAGTGCACATCAATCCATATTTTCAAATTACAGGATAATGTAACTCAGGTAGAGCAAAGAAAGTCCAGGGCAATATCCAGAGGCTGATGTGTTTTGTTAGGGGGACTACGGGTAATGTACAAAAGAGAGCAAAGTAGTAAAGGGCAGGCTCCCAAACCTGTGAGAGAACAGGAAAGAGATGGGAAAGGCAGGGTAAAGAGACAGGAAAGGCAGATACCAAAGATTAAGAGGGACTACCTACACTCTCCACAGCCCCAGAACCTGTCTCCCCACTTTCCAGGTGACCCCTATCTAGGAGTTCCAGCAAAGGGGCCCAAGTGACACATACCCTTTTAATCCATGCTTACATTGAGGTTTATTTGCCAATTTGTAAAATAAAAAAAAAATATCATCTATGCTCCATTTTCATGTAGTACATACCAGACTAGAGATGTATCCAAATTAAATTGTTAGCCCTTGTCTGTATTTACTAATTTTATAATTATAGCGAAGAAGATGAATTGAGCCTCTGATGTTCTCCAAATCATGGTTGGCAGGTTATTTATTGAAACAAGGTTCAGTGATTTGTTATTTAGTAAGGTTAAAGGTTAACCATGACTAATAATGGTACATGCTTATAACAAGGTAAACATAAGTATCCCAAAAGAGTCAGTTGAGTCCTGAAAGAGGGCTAAGTTCCTTTCCTGTGTGACCCCAAGAGGAATTAAAAAAATATCTTCTCCTCATAAAACCTTACAAACAACACTGAAGAAAAGGGAAAGGTAGTATCATAGTTAATTAGTTTAATTGGTGGGTCTTTGATGTGTGAAAAGAGCAACAATAGAGCAATGGTTTTAAAAGTAAAAATCAGAAGTTCAGTTTTGGAAAGACCCAGTAGCATGGAATATGCTTTTAGAAACAAAATAATGGCATTTAGTGACTCATTTGTGGGGTGCATTGGGTAAATAAGAGGTAGCTGTATCTGAGTCATCAGCCTACAGATGATACTGAAATCCAAAGAAATAAAGGTTTCCAAGAGAGGTGGTATAAACAGATAATAGAAGAGAAACATAGAATGTGACGGCAGATAAGAACCATTCTGGGGCGCTGGGTGGGGTGCTAAATCAGTTTTGGTGACTATGGCAGCACCATTCCTGTGAAATGCAATATCCGAGTGTACCCGATTCCATTTTTTTCCATTACATTTATGTGGTTTCTACCTTGTTATCATAGTTCTGTTTTCTTTGCCTCCCCAGTGAGGGACATTTTGCGAGGGTTAAATCCTGCCGCATGCCCCTGCCTGTGCCAGGTCTCCCCATGTAGTAGGGGCATGTTGCCTAAACAGCGAGCAGCAGTTATTTATTACAAGGAGGGAGCTGATAGCGCTTCCGGCTCTCTCTTTAATTTGTTTTTTTGTCGAGCATGTTATTTCTCTGTGCTGTGGTGGGTTAATTCCCCTGCAGCACGGAGTCTATTAAACGAATGAAACGAAAAGGTAATGCAATCACATTTGCCCTTTTGTTTTGTTTATATTTAGTTTGTAGGGCTTTCGTTTACATTTTAGTAAACAATTACGAAAAAACTTGGATGTTTGGATGAAATCGTATTCGTACAAAAACGAATGCACATGTCTATTTATTAAGATGAAATACATTCATATGTTAGAATGCACTGTAACCGTTGTAGGGACCCAACATGTTGTCCCTCAATACATTCAGGGTGTGAATGTTTTATTAATTATATCTCTGTAGTAAGTATCCAACAGAATACAATTGTGATCACATGATTTATGCTTTTTAAATAGTACTGTATGCAGTGGTCTCAAATCTCTGTTTAAAAGTAGATTCACTGTATTGTCCTGCAAAGAGTTTGCCTGCAGCTCATCCATGTCTAATTTATGCGTTGTATCCACATGATACACTAATAACTGATCTAAAATGAATCAGAATTCATATTAACACACATGGCTTATGATTTCATATCTGCATTATTTAAATACCAGCCGTGACATTTTAATATCCATTAAACGCTGCTTTGCCAGTTGTTATCATTAGCTGGCTGTTTTAAAGGGTATTCCAACACTGCACTTACACATACATACACACACACACACACACATTATATATATATATATATATATATATATATATATATATATATATATATATATATATATATATATATATATATATCAAACCTTTTACTCACCACTAGCGATTGTCTAGTGAAAATTTGTCCATGGTGGCTACAAATCCACTCCTGGTGAATATGCAGTGGCTTGCAGTGTTGAGTAACTTTTAGGTCCTTGCACTACTGCTTAAAATGCCATATATTTTCCCAGGTACTAGTCTTTGGCATCCAATACATAAAATATACAAGAAACTGACTGCACTCATGTTTATTTTATTTTTTTATAAATATCCAGAAAAATAATTATTGTTCCATGTTCCAATAATTCACATTACTGTGTGGTAAGAAGTAAAATGGTACAGGTCGACATTTCAGTCCCACTTGGGGACTTACCTCAGGATTACATAACTAGTTTGTGTGATTTATTGGAACATGGAACAATAAAGGATTTTCTGAATATAGAAGAAACTGTGAGTGCAATCAGATTTTTGTATATACTGATGAGCCACAACATTAAAATCTCAGACAGGTGAAGTGACTTTGACAAGGGCCAAATAGTGATGGCTAGATGATTGGGTCAGAACATTTCCAAAACAGCAAGTATTTTGTGGTGTTCCCAGTATGCAGCAATTAGTACCTAATGAAAGTAGGGCAAGGAATGACAACTGGTGATCTGGCACCGAGGTCATGGGCGCTCATGGGGAGTGAAGACTAGCCAGTCTGGTCTAATTACACAGAAAAACTACTGTAGTTCAAATTGTTGAAAAACTTGTCATGTTGGCCATGATAGAAAGATGAACTGCTAAGGGAATAAAAAAAAAAAGATAGAGGAAAAACATATATAGGCGCTATAATATAAATTAATAGGCAGCAGTAAATCTAGAAGGATTCCCAAACCTTGTGTAGCTTTCCAAAATTGTGAAAAATCAACAAGTGATAAACTGTGCCAAATAAAACTGATATAACTAAAAATCCCATTGATGAAGTTAATATTTGCAATGACCCAGTGGTATAGCATATATATATGTGTATACGTACTCTCCCTGGAGTAAGAAACTTTTCGAATAAAAAAAAAAACCTCAAAAAGGGAACAAAAATATAGTTACATATAGTTACATGGTTACATAGCTGAAAAGAGACTTGCGTCCATCAAGTTCAGCCTTCCTCACATTTGTTTTTTACTGTTGATCCAAAAGAAGGCAAAAAACCCCAGTTTGAAGCACAATTTTGCAACAAGCTAGGAAAACAAATTCCTTCTTGACCCCAGAATGGCAGTCAGATTTATCCTTGGATCAAGCAGTTATTACCCTACATTGAAAGATTATATCCTTGAATATTCTGTTTTTGCAAGTGTGCATCTAGTAGCTGTTTGAACATCTGTATGGACTCTGATAAAGCCACTTCTTCAGGCAGAGAATTCCACATCCTGATTGTTATTACAGTAAAAAAACCTTTCCTTTGCCTTAGACGAAATCTTCTTTCTTCCAGTCTAAACGCATGGCCTTGTGTTCTCTGTAAAGTCTGGTTTGTGAATAGATTTCCACACAATGGTTTGTGTTGGCCCTGAATATATTTGTCTAATGTTATCATATCCCCTCTCAGGCGACGTTTTTCTAAACTAAATAGGTTTAAATTTGTTAACATTTCTTCATAGGTGATATGTTCCATTCCTTTTATTAATTTTGTAGCCCGCCTCTGCACTTTTTCTAGTGCCATAATGTCCTTCTTTAGAACAGGTGCCCAAAATTGCACAGCATATTCAATATGGGATCTTACCAGTGATTTATAAAGAGGCAAAATGATATTCTCGTCCCAAGAATGAATGCCCTTTTTCATGCATGACAATACCTTACTGGCCTTGGCCACTGCTGATTGACATTGCACATTGTTGCATAGTTTGTTGTCTATAACAATTCCCAAGTCCTTTTCATGTGTTGTTATCCCTAATTCGCTTCCATTAAGGGTATACGTTGCTTGTGTATTCTTTACGCCGAAGTGCATAACTTTGCATTTTTCAACATTAAATTTCATCTGCCATTTGAGTGCCCAGTCCCCCAGTCTATATAAATCCCTCTGCAGCAAATTAATATCTTGCTCACATTGTATTGTTTTACAAAGTTTTGTGTCATCTGCAAACACTGAAACATGACTTTCAATGCGGTCTTCAAGATCATTTATAAACATGTTAAATAGAAGGGGTCCCAGAACAGACCCCTGAGGGACACCACTTGCCACCTCTGTCCAGCTTGAAAATTTACCATTAATGACAACTCTTTGTACTCTGTTTTTAAGCCAATGTTCTACCCAAGAACAAGCATTTTCATCTAGACCGATTTCCTTGAGTTTGAACACTAATCTATTGTGTGGAACTGTATCAAATGCCTTGGCAAAATCCAAATAGATCACATCCATGGCAACACCCTGATCTATACTTCTACTTACTTCTTCGTAGAACGCAATCAAGTTAGTTTGACATGACCTGTGCTTCATAAAACCGTGCAGATTTTTTGCTGATAACCATGTTCTTCTCAAGGAATTCTTGAATATTATCCCTTAATAACCTTTCAAATATTTTACCAGCCACAGAAGTTAAGCTCACATGTCTATAATTTCCAGGCAAGAATTTTGAACCCTTTTTGAATATAGGAACCACATCTGCCTTCCTCCATTCCTCTGGAACACTTCCTGAAAGAAAATAATTATTATTTCTACACTTAGTTCCTTAAGTACACGTGGATGGATACCTTCAGGCCCTGGAGCTTTGTTTATATTAACTTTCTTTAGTTGCTGCAGCATCTTGTCTTGAGTTAACCAATTACAATTATTCTGCAAGTTTTTAGTAGCAATCATTTGCACATCTATTGCCATTGGTTCTTCCTTAATATACGGAGGAGAAATAGTTATTTAAAATTCCTGCCTTTTCCTGGTCTTCATTAACTAACACCCCCGTTTCAGTATTTAGTGTACCTGCACTTTCATTTTTGGGTTTTTAGAATTTATGTACTTTAAAAATGCTTTGGGGTTGGTTTTGCTCTCTTTAGCTATCATTTTTTTCATTTTGAAGTTTAGCAAGTCTAATTGCCTTTTTACACGCATTATTTGCTTCCTTATATCTTTTATAAGATGCATCCGATTTGTCCGATTTAAATGCTTTAAATGCCCTTTTCCTATTTTTAATCTCTTGTTTTACTTCTCTACTAAGCCACATTGGTTTTATTTGTTTCTTTTATATTTATTTCCCAATGGTACATACTGAGAAATGTACCTTTCTAATATTTGTTGGAAGATGATCCATTTATCCTCAGTGTTCTTTTCACTAATGCCAGTGAATATATTGTAAAGCTTCCCTTAACTTATTGAAATTGGCCTTTTTAAAATTATATGTTTTAGTATACCCCATGTGCTTTAGTTTTTTTGAATTTATTTCAAAGGACACTATATTGTGATCACTATTTCCCAAGTGCTCACCTACTTGAATGTTGGTCAAAAGATCAACGTTGCTTGTTAAAACCAGGTCCAGACAAGCGTCCATTCTAGTTGGTGCTTGTACAAGTTGTGCCATTAAGGTGTCATTTAACAAAAACCTAATTCTCTTTGCTGAGCTACTAGTCCCTTTGTCCCAATTTATGTCCGGGTAATTAAAATCTCCAATAATTAAAGTGTTACCCATATCTGCAGCTTTCTCAATTTGCTCAAACAGCTGTTGGTCCTCGTCAATATTAACATTAGGTGGTTTATTACATATCACAACCAATAGTTGGTTTCCCTTTTCCCCAAAGCAGATATTTACCCATAAAGCTTCCACATTTTCCTCATCGTATTCCACTTGCTTAAGATTTGGCTTTAAATCATGGTTGACAGACAATGTCTTATTAACTGTACATATAGTCAGATATATAGAAAACGAACTCACACCCTCATGAGGTACTAAAAGCTCTGCTGTATTTCTAAAATTATATATAAAGATGAGACATATCTATTACCAGAGAAGATTGGGATGGCCGTTAATGATTATTATCATCAGTTATATAATTTGCCTTGTAACCAAACAGACCCTAGGGACTTCTTTAGAAATAAGAACATCCTGAAGATCTCGAAGAAACAACTAAATGAACTAAATGCCCCAAATACTTTACAAGAAATATATACACGGATAGAATTACTGAAACCTAACAAAGCACCAGAGCCAGACTGGTTTACGGGAATTTTCTATAAACTATTTAAAACTGAAATGTCACCCTGTTTGAGGACTACTTTTAATTAATTTATACCTAAAGCTAAAATCCCAGAAGAGTGGCTTAGGGCAATATCATCCCAATATTAAAATCTGGAAAGAACCCAAAGAGAGTAGATAGCTATCGCCCAATCTCTCTATTAAATGAAAATATTAAGCTTTATGCAGGAATACTGGCAGATAAATTGAAGAGGGTTATTGGCCATCTAGTACATAAAGACCAGGTGGGGTTTATCCCAGGATGACTTTTGACTAACCATGCAAGAAATATGATTGGGATATTGGAACAGGCTAGAAATTAGTGCATACCCATGTTGACCCTGTCATTGGATGCAGAGAAGGCCTTTGACAGGGTCAACTGGGCCTTTCTGAGGGAATACTGGACATCTTTTGGATTCTCCGGAGGTATACTTGGAGCTATTATGGCACTATACAGAGGCCCACAAGGTAGAATTGTGGGTCCTGGTATTAAATCCAATTGGTTTGGGATCACAAATGGCACTCGCCAGGGCTGCCTGTTATCACCAATGTTATATATTCTTTTTTCAATTAAATCTCTGGCAGCAGAAATTAGATCTAACCAGGCCATTATAGGCTTTGGAAATGACTTCACCCAAAAAATTAAGTTACATGCCAATGATGTATTGATAACCATTCAGAAGACGGGAGTCTATTGAATATGTTATGGATATTATTCAAGAATATAGCCAATTCTCCAATTATAAAATAAATACAGACAAATCCATGGCATTATATCAAAATATATCCCAAACTAATATTAACAAAATAGAATATAAATATGGATTCAAACAAGTCAATAGTTATTTTAACTACTTAAGCATAAAAATTTCAAAAAACCCAAGGAAATGGTTGGAACTCAATATATTACCGCTAATTAAAGAAACTAATATAAATTTTAAAAAATGGAAATCCATGGAAATTTCATGGTCGGGGAAAATAAATACCCTGAAAGCATATATTGTACCGAAATTTTCATATATTATGAGAATGATCCCTTTAAAGATCCCAGATAGTTGGCTGGATTTAATACAATTATCATTTAATACACTTATCTGGTCAGGTAAAAAAATTCAGAATCAAAAGAGAAATAATGTCAAGGAAAAAAGATCAGGGAGGTATGAGTATTCCAATTATCCAAAATATAGCATAAGCTAATTTACTAGCACGCTCTATAGTTGTAAATAAGGAAGACTCTAGGAATGAAAACTGGTATATAATAGAACAGATTTTAACCATGGGTAATAAAGATTATAAGACCCTCTTATCGTCAATAGATAAAGAAACTAACCTTCGTATCCATGTGGCAAAAACGGAGATAACTACCTTCCAAAGATCGAGGGGAGTGCTGCTCTGTGGTCTTCTGCCATGATGCCTGGTTTGTGCGACATGTCAGTGAACGCCAGCAGCTGAGGACCCACGATATTATATAGCCCCACGTCCATCTACGGTAAAGATGACGTCGACGTGTGGGTGACGCCCTGCAAAAGACGCACATGCACATTTTGGGGTCAAGGGCTAGGTACAGCCAATCGGATCTGCAAGAGGGTTATTTAAACTCACTTATTCCTCGGCTCAATGCCCTGTTGTGGTTTCCCTCAGATGCTTATCCAAGAGGGTGTTCCTGATCGTGTTTTTCTGGTTTTTGACTTTGGTTTCATTTTAACTTCCCTGATTTCTGGTATACTTGACTTTTGTCTTTTCCTTATCGCTGTGTCTTGTTCTGTGTCCCTGACCTCTGCTAGTTTTCTGACTATTCTTGGGTATGTTAAGTCCGGCCAGTTCTAGATTGTTAAACTATTCTGTGTGCTGGATCAATATAATCCTGACACCATCATATTAAAATTTCAAAATCATTAATAATTCAACAATTTTTTCCAGTTTGGCTTCTATTTAAAAAAAAAAAAAATTGGTATTAAAAAGAAAATAATCCCAGGTACAAGTCTAAATATATTATCAAATCTAATGATAGATACAAACCTGGAACTCTGGACCCATATGGGTATGGAAAAAATATCCAACTTTTTGAGGGGAAACAACTTTAAATCTTTTGAACAACTACAATTTGAATACAGTTTATCATTTACTGAATGGTTTAATTATATAAGAATAATATGTTTTTTGAAAACTCACTTGAGATTCAATCCTCTGGAACCCCCAGTTAAGATCTTGACAGAAATGCTTGAACAAGCAGATTATACGCATTAAGTTAACAAATGCCAAGAAGTAGTCTATAAAGCTCAGATAAAAATAACGCCTCCAGCAATTGCAAAATGGAATCTTGATTTGAACACATAAATATGAAAGAATGGAATAACTCTCTTACAACATTGTATAAGACTTGCCATTGTTTGAATACACATGAAGTTCATTATAAGATATTAAACAGATTGTATAGAACTCCAAAAAAAATTGCAAAAATGTATTCCAAAGCCTCCTCCAATTGTTGGAGATGTTCCGAGTCAATAGCAGATTTTAAACAATCAGACATCTTTGGAAGACTACAAACTTATATTTGTCAACCTTATTAGAAAAGAGGTTCAACCTAAACCAGAATATGGCCATGTTAGTCAAGGAAATGGGGGTGATTAATAAGAATCTTAGACCCATTATACTACATATATTAATGGTTGTCAAAACATCTATAGCTAGAAATTGGAAGTCCCCCACGGTGGATAGCTGGTCTAAGATACTCACTCAAAGTATTAAACAATGCAAAATGAAGCGTGCTTTTGCTAGGTGCTTCCCATTGAAGGGTCATCAATATAGTTTCTGGGACAAATGGATTAAAACATTAGAGCCGAGGTAATTGACTTTGGGCGTTTATAACAGACCGATCATATCCCTTTCACAACACTCGATTATCGGGTTTCCCCTTGCCTCGTGTCCTCCCATAATCTTGGACTTATTTTTCTATAGTTATGTTTTTCAAACACTAAGACCAAACAACTGTTTGTCTATATATATCTTTTGTTTGTATGTAATAGTAAAAAAAAAAAAAAAAAATTAGAGAAAGAAAATTGAAACAGAAAGAAAGGGAAAAAAAGGAGGAAAAAAAGAAAAGAAAAGTAAAAACAAGACTGACAAATGATGATTTGGTATTTGATATTGCTGATTTATTTTGATGTCTATGAAATATGCCACAATAAATACCTCCTCAAAAAAAAATTAAAAAAAAAAATTAAAGCTCTGCTGTATAGCACTTGGACGATACAATCCCTGTCTTAGGATGTGTGTAGATCCACAGTCTTGTATATCCAGTATAATTCCAACAGATAGAGGATGCAGAAAAGGAGGACATTCCATGGCAAAACAAACCTCTCTACTCTCCAATGTACCACTGGCATTTAGTGGATGTGGCTCACATTATGAAATCATACCAGGGATTGGAAAATGCTGGACTGAAAGACAGCACTGAGACACTAATCCTAGTACCAGATCAAAAGAAGTGGAGGTCTACCATACCAGAGAGTATCCAAGATGCAGGCTGTGCAAAGAAGCCTCTTAGACAATCCAGCCAGATGCAAGATGTTAGCAGGAACAGCATACACTGAGATGCACAACCAAGATGCTTGGATTGTATACCAAAATATCTGCACAGAATATGGGCTGGACCTGCCTAAGTCCAGATGGGAGATGCCACAAAGGGTAATTGAGGATGACAGTGCAATAATCCTGTGGGACTTTCAAATGCAGAAGACAAGCATGTAGGATGTGGAAAGTGAAGGCAGTAGTAGTTCCAGGTGTGATAGGAACACTCGGGCTGTGACCTTCAAGTTGGAAGAGTGGCTTTAACTGATTCCAGGTGGGACATTTGAGATCACTGTCCAAAAGAGTGAAGTTCTAGGAATTGCTAGAACCCTCAGACTCCCAGGCCACATACAGGCATTGTTTTTTGGTAGACTAATTTAATGTGGTTAGTAGTTTCTAATTCACTGTATGGCAAGGTTATCTTTAAACCAGCCAAGAGTACGGATCGATAAATAAAATACAGTGTTTGGAAGAAAAATGTATCAAAGCACCATACAGACTACTGCCCCAAGTATGATTTTAACAACTACAGGTTAGTTCTGCATTGAGCCATGCAAGTGTTGTACAGCATGCACACACACTGGAAGCTTACACCATTCAAGTCATTTGCTAGCGCTTGTATGAGCTGTACTGTGAGTGTACAAGTACATAGCACTGTCTATGTACTGTCTATACGGCTTCATGCTAAGCTCCTGCTAATGAGAGAGACTCATTTGAATGCTGTGAGTGGTCCAGAACGCCTAAGGGGAGCTCATGTGTAAAAAGTTAGCATCATTGCAGTTCAAAAGAGCAACATTTCGACTAATCCTTTTAGGGTTAAAGCTATGAACCAAAATAACTGTATCTTAAAAGAGCAGTTGTGATGTATAGACCATGCTCCTTCAGTCTCACTATTTGATGAACTGCCATTTAGAAGTTAAATATATTTTGCTTATGTTTATGCAGCCCTAGCAACAGCACCCCTGGCTGTGACTCGCACAGCACGAATGAGAAATGGTTTCAATTTCAGATTTTACAGCACACTGTGTTTACTTTAAAAGTTATCTCCTGTTCTGTTAGTTGAACTTCAAACACATACAAGCTCTACCGGGCAATTAACTGAGCATGTTTTACAAATTAAAAACTGTGCAATAAGAGACGTTAAAAAAAATAGACTCTTTAACAGGAAATGTGGGGGGAGGCAATGCGATTCTTAACCACTGGCGGTGTGGCTATTGCTGCATAAGCAAAGTGACTTAACACCTAAATGGCAGATAATGGAACAATGAGACTTCAGGAGCATGGTCTATACAGCAAATCCACTTCATTAAGCTGAATTTCTTTTAGTGTTTAGTGTGTCCCCTTATGGTGTATATATTTCAGGTTAGGGCACTCAATAAAAGGTTAACAAAGTTAATGATCAATTTTATGTATACATCTTTCACCATCACCGAAGAATTAATGCAGTGGAGAACTAGACCAGAATAGGATCCCAAACATTCATCACTGTTATAAATTTAAAAAAAACAAAAAGCAGTTTTCATTTGAACTGTTGTATAAATTGTGTAAATAAAGCTGTGTTAATCTTAATTTTTATTAGGTAAGAAACCAAAAATAAATTGAAAATTCTACTTAGTTTGTGGAAATTTGCAGTTTAGCTAGTGCTTCCATTTTAGAAAGCCGAATAAATAGAATGGTCAGTCAAACCTGAAATCCACCTTTGTTATAGCAGCTTTATTGCTTCCAGTATAGTAGAACACATAAGTTCACTTTTCAAGATAATCCCCAGTTTGATCATGACTGTCAGGGATTTTGTTCCAATCTCTGGGTATGTGGAGAGCTGAAAGTACAATCGATGTTCCTTTGTGGAATTAGACTGTCAGTGTAATGTCATGAGCTTTATTCTGATGGTGCTTACGAACCATACCGATCCCTGGAGTGGATACCTGCTATAAACACAAACTCATTTATTGGACAATGTCCACCATAAAAATCTGTTTGTTTAGAGCATTTGGTGCCAAATATATCTTTTCTAGAACTCATATATCTCACAGTATACATATCCATCATAAGAGCCATAATCAGCTAAGCTGAGAACCACAAACCTGCTTCTCTGTAAAGAATTACGTTATGCACCTCTGTGACCCTGAAAATAAAAGGTTGTTAACACACACAATCTTATATAACTGCAGAATGAAAAGTATTAAATAGCAAAAATAGTATTAACAATTACTCTATCTATTAGTATATAGAGGAAACAAAACAATTGGGTATTATTAAAAAGAATGCCATCAAGGTTTCTGAGACATCCTATAAAGTGTGTCTGATGTTGAGTTATAAATCTCTAATATGGAATGATTTTTAATCATAAGGCATATATGACATAGTCTGCCCACGAATTGCAGGGATTACCCTCATGGGCTCTAGGTGTAGCTTTTATTATAGCACCATTAATGTGGTCCATTTCCCTACAGTGATATGCTGGCAGAGGAGCTGGGGAGAAAAATAAAATCACATGGTTCTGTCTCCTCATCTCCTTTCCAACACCTTGGATTAAATGTTATGTCAGAATTCAAGATACGACTTCACAATATATGATATTGCCTATGAAGTCCACATATACCCAAACAGACTTTTATTTATCTATATGTACAGTAATAGTTATCAGAGACAATATTTCTGAATATATTTTCTGGTTATTTTCCTTAAAGAAAAGCCTTAAGCTGGGAATTTGGTAAATATTTTTTTTTAATTTATAGACATCATACCCCTCAAATTCAAAGCAGATCTCTTGGGTCTTTTGGCTGTCTGAGCAAGGGTACTAATGTGTATAAAAAAACATGTATCTTACATTCCTCGGTTTTGTTCATTAGTAGTGATGTCCAGAACGGTTCACCGAACGGTTCGCCACGGACGGCGAACATAAACATAAACTTTGACCCTGTACCTCACAGTCAGCAGACACATTCCAGCCAATCAGCAGCAGACCCTCCTTCCCAGACCCTCCCACCTCCTGGACAGCATCCACTTTACATTCATTGTGAAGCTGCATTCTTAGTGAGCTGTCCAGGAGGTGGGAAGGTCTGGGAGGGAGGGTCTGCTGCTGATTGGCTGGAATGTGTCTACTGACTGTGAGGTACAGGGTCAAAGTTTATGTTTATGTTCGCCATCTGCGGCGAACCATTCGGCGAACCGTTCGGGACATCACTATTCATTAGTTATTGGAAAAACACATCACAGTCTGTTCTCACTACTGGCCACACCAATAAAGGGGAATTTAAATTATATCAGTGGACGCTGTATAACATTCTTTGGAAATTTCCATTGTAAACCAGACCATTTCAAAAACTCAGTTATTTAGTAAATCAAGTGCTAAAATATTCAAATTAACATGCGGAAGTGAGATGTGCAACACCTATATTGGTAATAAATAATAATTTAGTATATTTACCGAGAACATTTCTCATTTAAAAGTAGACACTTAGGAAAAATATAGACTGTTTATTACGCTGAAATAAATGCACAGTACAGATGTATAGTGATATGTGTAAACAATGCAGGATTAACATACATGGCAGAATTGTTCTGTAAGGAATGTAATCAGGTGGGTTATTTTATGGAGTTAGTGAACGTTGTAGTGTCTAATGATTAGACCTGTTTTAGAAACTGACTTGCGGTACTGACAGATTGATTTACAGGACTCATGTGACATCTTGATTGTTATTGCAGACTCCTCAAATACAAATATTAGTAGACAACGGCGGCTACTTCACTTTAGATATTGTTTCATCATAACATTTTTTGTTAGCTATAACATTTTTTTTCTAGTGTTTTTCATAAACAGGGCTTTATTTGCTGAACTCCAAATTGTAGTGAATTGAAAACCAATTGCAGCTGATGTAGATTGTATATGTACTGTCATTAAAGCAATAAGTTATAACATGCCTAGTATGTCAACTTCCCTAATGCCATATAATCTACACAAACTAGTGTGAATATATTTGTTGTGGAATCTATGCAAATTAAGCTTTGATGCACCCATACACACCGATAAACGAATTCACTGGAAACAAAACAGTAAGAGATCCCACCAAAAGGGAACAAATGAGGTTCATTGAAATGTACTTTAAAGCGGCATTGTCACTGTCTGGGGCAATGGTGTATTTTGGATTTGTGCTGCCCTAGGCACAACTAAATTAGGGCACCCTCTTAATCTAAATTTGCCCTCCAATTTGTGTCAAGGCCACTTTTTTGACACACACACACCCTCATTGATACATGCGCTGACATACACTCACTGACAGATACACAGTCATTGGCACACACACACACACACACACACTGTTTAACCACTTTCACTGACAGACACACCCTGACAGACACTCACAGACACACATATCCTCACTGATCTGACACACTGACAGACACACATATTCACTCACCCACTTACTCACTCACTCACTCACTCACTCACAGAAACACACTGACAGCTACACACACACACACAAACTGACAGACACACACTCACTGACAGACACACACACTTACTGACAGACACAAACACACACTCACACTCACTGACAGACACACACACCCTCAGCGATTTGACACTGACAGAAACACATATTCACTCACTCACTCACTCATAGACGAACACTGGCAGCTACAAACACTCACTCACAGACACACACACACTCACAATGACAGACACAAACACACACTCACTGACAGCTACACTCAGACTGACAGCTACACACACTCACTCACTCACAGACATACACACACACTCACTGACAGACAGACAGACAGACACACACACACACACACACACACTCACTGACACACACACACACACACACACACATATTCACATTCATTGACAGACACACACACATTCACTGACAGACACATATACACTCATTGACAGACACACACACACGTTTTCTCATACACTCACCAATTTTTTTATTTTATTTAAATCCACCCAGTCTCCATACCTTTGGGAGAGTTGGAGTGGATCCTAACTGCTGCTGGGCTGGCTGAGCTCCTTGCTGGGGCTGCTAGCTCTGCTGGCTAGTTTGACTTTGCAGGCGCCCAATGGCAAGGGAACTGAGAACTGAGCTCTTCTTGCTCAGCTCCCTTGTGCACCGCTTAGTGATCCCGGAGTTGGAGTAAAGTCATATTCTGGCTCCCAGGATCACAGAAGGGCGCAAGAGGGAGCAAGAAGAGCTGAGAAATTCTAAAAGGTTCTATCTTTATAAAATACAAATTTTTTAGGGGGAGGGGAGGAGTAACAGTGCCGCTTTAAGCAATAGGATGATATTGTAACAAGTGTATTCCTTTATTCTATTTTTTTTTTTTACATGTATTCTTTCTCAAGAGAGGAGGGGTAGGTCTTTCTGACTGAATGCTGTTCAGATCTTTACTTGTATTGAGAACATAAAAATTTTTTTCATGTATAAATTATATTTTCTTTAACCATACTGTGTTGCTTAATACTTCTTCTTACCACTAGATGGGAGAAGCAGCTCAACAAAATGTTTTCTCTTATTTTTGCTTTTAAAATTACTTCCTATAACAGCTGCATATTAATGCAATTTCTGAAGTAATACAGAAATCACTTGTATATGTCACAGAACTGTCAAGTCAACCAGGCTATTGTTTTTTATTTTTATTTTTAATAAAGGTTGGATATTTATTTATTTATCAGCCATATTCCACAAATGCACTAAGCTGACCCATTTCTGAGATAAAACCCCCAAAATGAGGTAATGGGTGCAATTTGTAATATTGTTTCAAATTATTGGCCAATTGAGATTATGAGGCAATAATTTATATTCCCAAGCGGGCATGTTTCAGTATATTAAAGCGATGTGAAATACATATTTTAGGAAGCATAATGTCTCTCTGTGCATGCCAAGTAATTAAAATCCTTTAAGAGATTCTTTAAATTGATTTTCCGATTCTAAGCTTTCTTAATCCAGCCTTTGCCGTTGAATCAGTGCAATGTGACAAGTAAGGCTCCTGGGGATACATCCATCTTTAACACTGATATAAAACTAAAACGTGACACTCTCAGCAGGCTTATTTGCAAATGTTTACCCAGAATTCATTTCTGCAGTACAATCATTTAATTTAGAGCAAAGTGCAACTACAGCTGAGATTTCTTATGTAGAAGATTCACTCAGTAAACAGTACACTGTGTATTAAAAACCATACTAGTAAAATAAATAGTGAACTAGGTGGGATGTAAACAATTGTGTTAAGTTTAGCAAATTTGGTTTTAACTTCATCACATTCATACCTGACAACTTTGGCAATTCTGGTGAGGCCGTAAATTGGACATGTACTCATGCTAGCAGTGGCGTACACATAACCCATGGGGCCCCGGTGCGAAACTGATCCATGGGCCCGCCCCCCTAACATCCCCCCCTCTAAATTCCCCCCCGACACACACACATACATACAGAGACACACACACACAGACAGACAGATACATACAACACATACATACAAAGGCACATACATACAAACAGACAGACAGGCACACATACAGACAGGCACATACACACAGACAGACACACATACATACAGACAGATACATACAGACACATACGACACATACATACAAAGACACATATATACATAAAAACAGACAGGCACACACACATACATACAGACACACACACACAACAAACATACATACAAAGACACATACAAACAGACAGGCACACATACAGGGAGTGCAGAATTATTAGGCAAATGAGTATTTTGACCACATCATCCTCTTTATGCATGTTGTCTTACTCCAAGCTGTATAGGCTCGAAAGCCTACTACCAATTAAGCATAATAGGTGATGTGCATCTCTGTAATGAGAAGGGGTGTGGTCTAATGACATCAACACCCTATATCAGGTGTGCATAATTATTAGGCAACTTCCTTTCCTTTGGCAAAATGGGTCAAAAGAAGGACTTGACAGGCTCAGAAAAGTCAAAATAGTGAGATATCTTGCAGAGGGATGCAGCACTCTTAAAATTGCAAAGCTTCTGAAGCGTGATCATCGAACAATCAAGCGTTTCATTCAAAATAGTCAACAGGGTTGCAAGAAGCGTGTGGAAAAACCAAGGCGCAAAATAACTGCCCATGAACTGAGAAAAGTCAAGCGTGCAGCTGCCACGATGCCACTTGCCACCAGTTTGGCCATATTTCAGAGCTGCAACATCACTGGAGTGCCCAAAAGCACAAGGTGTGCAATACTCAGAGACATGGCCAAGGTAAGAAAGGCTGAAAGACGACCACCACTGAACAAGACACACAAGCTGAAACGTCAAGACTGGGCCAAGAAATATCTCAAGACTGATTTTTCTAAGGTTTTATGGACTGATGAAATGAGAGTGAGTCTTGATGGGCCAGATGGATGGGCCCGTGGCTGGATTGGTAAAGGGCAGAGAGCTCCAGTCCGACTCAGACGCCAGCAAGGTGGAGGTGGAGCACTGGTTTGGGCTGGTATCATCAAAGATGAGCTTGTGGGGCCTTTTCGGGTTGAGGATGGAGTCAAGCTCAACTCCCAGTCCTACTGCCAGTTCCTGGAAGACACCTTCTTCAAGCAGTGGTACAGGAAGAAGTCTGCATCCTTCAAGAAAAACATGATTTTCATGCAGGACAATGCTCCATCACACGCGTCCAAGTACTCCACAGCGTGGCTGGCAAGAAAGGGTATAAAAGAAGAAAATCTAATGACATGGCCTCCTTGTTCACCTGATCTGAACCCCATTGAGAACCTGTGGTCCATCATCAAATGTGAGATTTACAAGGAGGGAAAACAGTACACCTCTCTGAACAGTGTCTGGGAGGCTGTGGTTGCTGCTGCACGCAATGTTGATGGTGAACAGATCAAAACACTGACAGAATCCATGGATGGCAGGCTTTTGAGTGTCCTTGCAAAGAAAGGTGGCTATATTGGTCACTGATTTGTTTTTGTTTTGTTTTTGAATGTCAGAAATGTATATTTGTGAATGTTGAGATGTTATATTGGTTTCACTGGTAATAATAAATAATTGAAATGGGTATATATTTGTTTTTTGTTAAGTTGCCTAATAATTATGCACAGTAATAGTCACCTGCACACACAGATATCCCCCTAACATAGCTATAACTAAAAACAAACTAAAAACTACTTCCAAAAATATTCAGCTTTGATATTAATGAGTTTTTTGGGTTCATTGAGAACATGGTTGTTGTTCAATAATAAAATTAATCCTCAAAAATACAACTTGCCTAATAATTCTGCACTCCCTGTACATATATACAAACAGACAGACAGACAGGCACACATACATACAGACAAAGAGGCACACACACACACATATACACACATACAGACAAACACACACACACACACACACGACACATACATACACAGACACATACATACATAAAAACAGACAGGCACACATACATACATACATACAGACAGATAGACACAGACACATACAAACAGACACACACATACATAAATACAGACAGACACACATACAGACACACACACAATACACACATACATACAAAGACACATACATTCAGACAGATAGACAGACACATACATACAAACAGACAGGCACACATACATACAGACAGATAGACACAGACACATAATATTTAAGTCACCTGTTTCCCACCTTTTAGGTGCAGGAAGGTGACTTTCCCTGTGTCCAGTGGTGGCTCAGGTTGATGGGAGTCAGAGTTCCCGCTCTGACTCCCTGCTCTTCCTCCCGCGCTGGCTCTGTGTGTTAGCTGGGAGGAGTGACGGGCAGTCACTTCCTCCCAGCAGTGATGATCTCATTACAGGGGGCCCAGTTACGCTGTTAAAGTGCCCAGCGCTGAGCGGGCCCCCTGACAATCCATCTCCATCGGGTGGCCCAGACAGCATGGGCCACCCGATGGTCACCTGATGCGGCCCTGACGGTTTGCCGCACAGGCCGGGGCCGCAAATGATGATGGCGGGCACCCGGTCGCAGGGGCCTGCATGGTGGACAGGCCCCCTGGAGTGACAGGCCCGGTCACAGCTGTGACCCCTGCGACTGCGGTATGTACGCCAGTGCATGCTAGTCTAGATAATAGATTGCCAGGAATACAACCAAGTCAGGCTCATCGTGCACAGAGGAATACTAAAGTGCTACCATATTGTCTGAAAAGCCCTGTAATTCATGCTTAGTCCAATGAGACCAGGTACAAACATTTATTCCCAGTACTCTTTTCTGTGGTGTTCCTAAAACCGAGAGAGCAGAGGAAACTTGGGATGGTTTCTACATTTTAGACTGTGCAGCTGAATTTGTGACATTTGGCAAATATGCACAATATATAATCCTTATTGAATGAAGCGCAAAAATAAGAGCTACAGTTTTATGTGAAACAAAAATGTACACAATTTTTTTATATTTAATCTTTTGAATTATTATATTTTTAGAATCTTGTCAGAAACAAAAGCAAAGGAGAACCCTTTAGGACAGGTAAGTATTGACAACTTTTTATCCTATGCATGTATCTTTGGGCTGCAGACACAAAATGTATGTATGTGTGTGTGTGTGTGTATATATACTTGTATGTATAATATGTAAATATTTAAACATGCTTACTTTACAGATGCCTTGTGGTTTGTTCATGGGTGATTATTCATTTCGGCTCCATAAATGACAGCAACATTATTAAGTCAATGAAAATCTGTAGGGAGATTCTAAGAACACAGTTTGAGCTATTAAATAAGTGAAATCTTTTTTACAAAGAGCTGTAGCATGCATTTATTGTATGGCCTTTAATAATAGTGGCAGTATACTAGCATTAAACAGTGAAGTGTCTGTTGTAAAGACATCACTCCAGTTAAAATTTTTGTACTATTTTTTGGAGCTTAATTTTGAAACTGTTGTTAAAGGCACACTCCAGGCACCCAGACCACTTCAGCTAATTGAAAAGGTCTGGGTGCTATGCCCCTATTGCACTTAGTGCTGCAATGTAAACATTGCAGTTCCAGAGAACTGCAATGTTTACATTGCAGCTCTAAGTCTGCCCTCTGTGGCTGTATATCAGACAGCCACTGGGGGAGCTTCCTGATTCATAACAGACTTTTGGTTCGTTATCTGACGCTGGACGTCCTCACGGATCTCCAGTGTCAGATTTTCCCCATAAGAAAGCATTGAATAATGCTTTCCTATGGGGAGGTCTAATGCGCATGAGCGGCCATTGCCACGCATGTGCATTAGGGCTCCCCTGCTGGCTGACGTCAACAGGGGGAGGAGCTTGGGCGAAGCCTTACCCAGTTCCGAGGGACATTGGCGCTGGATTCAGTTATGTAGCTGAAGGGGTTTTCCTGGCACTGGAGAATCCCTTTAACTGCTGTAGAATCCCCATTAGATAAAGGGATTTCAAAACTACTGCAGTTTTTTTGTTAAACTAATGTGCATAATTATCTGCTAGCTTTGGCCTATGGCATATACAGTTGTAATCAAAATTATTTAACCCCTCCATTGGAAATCAGGTTTATTGTCAAAATGTACAGACTTTCAGCTGTTTGCAATGAACAAATCAAACAAAAGCAATTGAAATAGCTCAACACAACGAACACTTCAAGTGGTTTCCCCAAATTCAACTGAAAATGTACTTCATAATGACTTCTCTAGGCTCAAAATTATTCAACCCCTTCATTGAAACATCTTTAGTACTTAGTTGAGCACCCTTTTGCTGTTGACCTGCTGCAAATGAGATGCATAGCCAGACACCAGCTTCTGGCAGCATTCTTGAGGGGTTTTAGCGCATTGCTCATGAGCAGTAATTCAAGATTTTCCTAGTCTTGATGTCAGAAAATATATGTTTTATTAAAGTCTTGAATTTTAAAACAAGACAGGAGGCTCGTATTATGTATGTTCAAAGCTAAATAGTCATAATATAAAATACATCAGAAGTTATTACAATATTATTTTTGAAACAGGCTAGGTTTAAAATAAAACTGTTTAAATGTAGATTCTGAAGACCAATCTGCAGTTTTTAACAGATCTGATAAAGAGCCTCCTGCTTGAAACACTTTAGTAGTAACAGCTCCTCTTGATGAGTGAGCTCCAAACATTGAAATATTAATAGTACAGAAAAAAGAAAGGAAGGCAGCGCCACTACAAACCACATAAATTAAAAGAGCACAGAATAGGCAGACTAGAATGCAATATATATATAATAGATAATAAGCAAATAGAAGTCCAGAATAAATAGTCTGACTGGTACATTTTATACTTTGATCACCATTGCTGTTCCCGCTTTTATTTCCACATATGGTTCCCTAATCAAGAAAGAATACTTAGACCTCACGTATCCCATAAGTGGGGATTATACCACTGTACGTTATCAACACTAGAGTACGTTATCTAGTCTGCCTATTCAATGCTCTTTTAATTTATGTGGTTTGTAGTGGCGCTGCCTTCCTTTCTTTTTTCTGTACCATTTCTGGTGTAAGGCCTGTGAGGGAGCCCTACTTTTTAGGTGTGCTGCCACTTTTTACTTATTTATTATTGTTTCTGTTGTATCTTGTATAGATAGAGAGCGCTGATCCCTTTCTTCTATTGAAATATTAATACCTGCCATAGACATTGTTTGCCGTACCTATCTAGCTAAAGATGCAGAGGAGACAGGCAGAAAAGGTTTATGAAAAGAGATTAGTAATTGCGAGAAATTAGAATTTCGAATCAAAACGGTTTTAAACTCATATGTTTGAAGACAACTAACAACACATAGAAGAGGATGGTCAGAAAATGAAGGATAGAATACAGTGCAGAGATTAGTTTTGGTATGTCTAACAATAGAAAAATGAACACCATCAGGAGTTTATTATTTAAGTCTAAAGCTTTAACGTCAGAAACTCTTTTGAAAGAGATGAGACATAGTAATGTGGTAAGCTTAAACGAAAGCAATTTTAAGGATAATGAGTCATTGGCACCCCATGATTCTATCAACTGGAGTACCAGAGTAACATCCCAGGAGGAATTATATTTAGGGCATGGAGGACATTTAAATCTGATACCCTTCATAAGTCTGCAGACTAGAGGATGTTTACCCACAGGGAAAAATTCAATAGGGTCGTGATTTGCTGAGATAGCAGATCTATAGACATTTATGGTGCAATAAGCTTTCCCTGAGTCAAAAGAGGCTGACAAAAAATATAGAATCTTTGCTAAATCTGAATGTATGGCATCCACTGCCCATCCCATGCACCAATTAAGCCAAATTTTCCAGGCTGATCTGTAATTTGCATGGGTTCCCGGTGCCCATGCTTGTGAGAGAATGTCTCTAGTAGTGTTTAAAAATTCACTAAGAGATTCGAATGACCCGAAATGAGAGATGCAATCAATAGTAGTTGGCCCGACAGCACTAGAGGATGAAAATTTCCCTCCAGATCGCGAAGAGAATCCTGACGCATCTGTATGAGTCGTGGGTAGTCTATCAGCATGCTGAGAAGCTGAGGGAACCATGGTTGTGATGGCCAGAGAGGGGTTATAACTACTAAGGTCGATTTCTGGGACCATGCTTTCAGAAGTACCCGGGATATCATTGTAAACAGGGGAAAAGCATAATTGATTCCGTCTTTCCAACATTGGAGAAAAGCATCTTGATCTACTGCTTCTGGATCCGGACGCCAACTGAAAAATGTTTCTAGTTGGCGATTGAGTCGTGATGCAAAGAGGTCGTATTGAAATGGACCCCACAGAGCAAGTAGTCGTTGGAATATGTTGGGATCCACCATCCAGTCGCTGTAATCCACTAGGAAACAGGAATTCCAATCTGCTACTGTATTGGAAAGGCCGGAAAGGTATTCTGCTCGTAACGTTATGTTTCGATCGAGGCAAAAATGCCATAATTCTTTGGCAATGTCCACCAGTTGCTTGGATTTTGCACCTCCTAAGCAATTTATACAGGGAGTGCAGAATTATTAGGCAAATGAGTATTTTGACCACATCATCCTCTTTATGCATGTTGTCTTACTCCAAGCTGTATAGGCTCGAAAGCCTACTACCAATTAAGCATATTAGGTGATGTGCATCTCTGTAATGAGAAGGGGTGTGGTCTAATGACATCAACACCCTATATCAGGTGTGCATAATTATTAGGCAACTTCCTTTCCTTTGGCAAAATGGGTCAAAAGAAGGACTTGACAGGCTCAGAAAAGTCAAAAATAGTGAGATATCTTGCAGAGGGATACAGCACTCTTAAAATTGCAAAGCTTCTGAAGCGTGATCATCGAACAATCAAGCGTTTCATTCAAAATAGTCAACAGGGTCGCAAGAAGCGTGTGGAAAAACCAAGGCGCAAAATAACTGCCCATGAACTGAGAAAAGTCAAGCGTGCAGCTGCCACGATGCCACTTGCCACCAGTTTGGCCATATTTCAGAGCTGCAACATCACTGGAGTGCCCAAAAGCACAAGGTGTGCAATACTCAGAGACATGGCCAAGGTAAGAAAGGCTGAAAGACGACCACCACTGAACAAGACACACAAGCTGAAACGTCAAGACTGGGCCAAGAAATATCTCAAGACTGATTTTTCTAAGGTTTTATGGACTGATGAAATGAGAGTGAGTCTTGATGGGCCAGATGGATGGGCCCGTGGCTGGATTGGTAAAGGGCAGAGAGCTCCAGTCCGACTCAGACGCCAGCAAGGTGGAGGTGGAGTACTGGTTTGGGCTGGTATCATCAAAGATGAGCTTGTGGGGCCTTTTCGGGTTGAGGATGGAGTCAAGCTCAACTCCCAGTCCTACTGCCAGTTCCTGGAAGACACCTTCTTCAAGCAGTGGTACAGGAAGAAGTCTGCATCCTTCAAGAAAAACATGATTTTCATGCAGGACAATGCTCCATCACACGCGTCCAAGTACTCCACAGCGTGGCTGGCAAGAAAGGGTATAAAAGAAGAAAATCTAATGACATGGCCTCCTTGTTCACCTGATCTGAACCCCATTGAGAACCTGTGGTCCATCATCAAATGTGAGATTTACAAGGAGGGAAAACAGTACACCTCTCTGAACAGTGTCTGGGAGGCTGTGGTTGCTGCTGCACGCAATGTTGATGGTGAACAGATCAAAACACTGACAGAATCCATGGATGGCAGGCTTTTGAGTGTCCTTGCAAAGAAAGGTGGCTATATTGGTTACTGATTTGTTTTTGTTTTGTTTTTGAATGTCAGAAATGTATATTTGTGAATGTTGAGATGTTATATTGGTTTCACTGGTAATAATAAATAATTGAAATGGGTATATATTTGTTTTTTGTTAAGTTGCCTAATAATTATGCACAGTAATAGTCACCTGCACACACAGATATCCCCCTAACATAGCTATAACTAAAAACAAACTAAAAACTACTTCCAAAAATATTCAGCTTTGATATTAATGAGTTTTTTGGGTTCATTGAGAACATGGTTGTTGTTCAATAATAAAATTAATCCTCAAAAATACAACTTGCCTAATAATTCTGCACTCCCTGTATATTGGACTGCTGATATGTTGTCCATCTTGAGAAGGATACAACAATGGGATTTGTGTTTCGCAAAACTGCGTAGAGCGAAAAACCCTGCCATGAATTCCAGGCAGTTTATATGCATATTCGTCTCTTCTAGAGACTATTTGCCTCCTGTGGAATTAGCCGCCACAATGGGCTCCCCAGCCTAATCGACTTGCGTCGGATTCTATAGTTAGGTCTGGGAATGACGGGAAAAATGCTTTCCCGTTCCAAATTTGAACGTGATCTAACCACCAGGATAGTTCTGTTCTTGTCTCTGAAGTTAGAGAAATCTCATCTAAATAGAGGAGACCGTTGCGTAGATGTTCTCTTTTCAATCTTTGAAGAGCCCGATAGTGAAGGGGGGGCTGGAAAAATAGCCTGGATCAAGGCTGATAAAATACCTACAATCCGTGCTAAAGGCCTGATGGAAATTAATTCCTTCTTTTCGAATCGTTTTCAATTTCCGTGATGGAAGGCTGAGAGTGGCTAAATTGGAATTCACTAGAAATCCTAAAAATTCTATCTCCTGAGAGGGAGTTAAAATAGATTTTTCATAATTTATTACAAAGCCAAGGCTTTGAGAAGGCTTGAGAATGTAGTTGAAGAGTTTGCACACTCTGTGACATAATCAATATGTCGTCTAGATAGATTATCATTCTTACTCCCCTGCTTCGAAGTAGGGATATTACTGGTCTGAGTAATTTGGTGAAACACCAAGGTGCAGAGGATAAACCAAATGGCAATGATTGAACTGTAAATATTTCTGACATGAGTGGTAGATAGGTACCGTGAGGTATGCATCCTTCAAATCTATTTTGATCAACCTGTCGTTGAATATCAATAGGTCTTTGAGGTAATAAATTCCCTCCATTTTGAAATGGTGGTATCTGACAAAATTGTTTAAGTATTTCAAGTTTATGACTGGTCTGTGACCAGAATCTTTATTTTTCACCAATAATAAATTGCTTATGAAGCCTGGGCTACTCATGGGCACCTGTATGATGGCATTTTTAAAGCATAAACTTAATATTTCTTGAGGCACCAGGGCTTGCCCTTGGGTTGAAAGATTTATCAGGAAAGGTATGTTTCTTTGGACGGGGCATGATATAAAATATATGTCTAGTATGTCTAGTATCCAAGAATCGTTTGTAATCTGACTCCAGACATGGAAAAAACGAGTGAGTCTGCCCCCTAACCCTACCAGGTTGTCGTACTCACCGAATGAAGATCTGAATTGAGACATTCCTCAATGGCCTCTTGATCTCCAAGGTCTGCCACGTAGTGGAAAGAATGGAGTTGATTGTTGGGTGTCACATGAGGGCCTGGTGGGTTGAAAGGTGTTCCTTGGAACCTGTCTATGTTGAAAGGAACGGCTGGAAGAACGGTTCCTTCCTCTTCCAGCTCTTCTGAAAACCTTAGGGTTGAAAACTTTCCTCAGGCATGACTGAGCCAATGTCACGATAGTGACCCCTTCACACAGATGGTAACCCAGAAAGGGACGTATACCGGACCTTAGGGTGGCCGGACTTAACGTCAAAGAATAGTCAAGAAAAAGCCGAGGGTCAAGGGAGTACGGAAATCGGGATAAACGAGAAAGCCAAGCCAAAAGTCGGGGAGCCAGATAGGAGAATAGTCAGAACGAAAGCCAAGGATCAAAATACCAGAAAAACAGCTAAACAGTATAAGAGCACTAGGGGAACAATCAAGAACCACACTAGGGCACTGAGGGGTGGACAGGGATGCCCTTTTATACTAATGTGTGTGTGTCACTTTAAAGCCACGCCCCCAAAAGGTTCGGGAGCGTGGCCGCGTTTGAATTTTCGCGGCAAAATCATTATGACGTCGGCGCGCATGCGCCGCGTCATAAAACGGATTTTGCCGCGAGCGGGCTGCGTCCGAGAGGCTGCGCCGCCCCCCGGAAGCAGCCGGGGAAACTGCCGTGCCGCGCGGGATCGGCGGACACAGGTAAGGTATCGTCACAGTACCCCCCCCGAGGACCGCCCCCAGGGTGGGCAGGACAGGGTCCGTGAGAACGACGCCTAGCAAAGGAACAGACTAGGCGAGGCGCGTGCACGTCCGAGGCATCTACCCATGACCTTTCCTCGGGACCGTACCCCTTCCAATCCAACAGATACTGGAGCCGACCTCTAGAGATACGAGAGTCTAAAATAGATTTAACCTCGTATTCGTTTTGGCCATCAATGAGCGTAGAACGAGGAGACCTGTGTTTACGAGTAAAGCGATTACAAATCAAAGGTTTCAGAAGAGAAACATGAAAGGAATTGGGTATCCTCATATTAGCTGGTAAATCCAGGCGATATCAGACTGGATTAATCCGTTGGAGAATCCTAAAAGGACCAATGAATCGCGGAGCAAATTTCATAGAGGGCACTCGTAATTTAATATTGCGTGTACTCAACCACACTCTATCTCCCACTATAAAATTCGGAGCATTCTTGCGCCGGGTGCCCGCTTTACTTTTTTGAGCATCGGCCTTATGAGTCAGGATACGCTTGACCCCTAACCAAGTTTCTTTCATATTCCTTACAGTATAGTCAACACTTGGCACTGCGGAGGATGAAAAGGAACTCGGAAGAGTAGTAGGGTCAAAGCCATAATTTATAAAAAAGGGGCTATGTTGTGTTGATTCGTGAACCCAGTTATTGTGGGCGAATTCAGCCCAAGGGAGTAACTCCTTCCAATCGTCTTGGTGATCGGAGATGAAGCAACGAAGGTACTGTTCTAGTGACTGATTCATTCTCTCAGTAACTCCGTTGGATTGGGGATGGTATGAAGAGGAGTGGTTAAGTTTGATACCTAACTGATCACAAAACGCCTTCCAAAACCTGGAAACAAACTGTGAGCCTCTGTCAGAGACTATGTCTGTAGGGATACCATGTAAACGAACCACCTCCCTTATGAATATCGTGGCCACTTCTGAGGATGAAGGAAGTTTAATTAAAGGGACTAGGTGGGTCATTTTGGAAAATCTATCGATGATAGTTAGGATTATCCGGTGATTTTTTGAAGGTGGTAGGTCTACTATGAAATCCATGGCGATACTTGACCAGGGCATTTCGGGAATAGGTAACGGCATGAGGAGGCCTAAAGGGTGACTTTTAGGAGACTTATTAGAGGAACATATGTTACAGGCTAGGACATACTCTCGAACGTCCTTCTTGTAAGAAGGCCACCAGAATTGCTTTTCGAGTAGTGCTTCTGTTTTATGGATACCGGGATGACCGGCAATCTTAGAGTCGTGTACCAAGGATAGGATTCGTCTTCTATAATTGAAGGGTACGTATAATTTCCCCTGAGGGATAGTCAGGGAGTTGTGGTTTTGACATTTAGACAATACTTCTATTAAGCTAGAAGAGATTTTAGTACGTACTGTGGCAACTATTTGTGAAGTAGGGATTATGGAAGATAAATGGGTTACTGGTGGAGATAGGTGCTCATGTTGCCGAGATAAGGCATCTGCTTTCGTATTCTTAGAACCGGGTCTGTATGTCACTATGTAGTTAAAACGTGTTAGGAACAAAGACCAACGAATCTGCCTGTCAGACATTCTTTTAGCTTCTCCAAAATAGGAAAGGTTCTTGTGATCAGTGAGGATGATGATCGGTTCAGATGTCCCCTCTAATAGATGCCGCCATTCTTTGAGTGCTGAAATGATAGCCAACAATTCCCTATCACCTATATCGTATCTTCGTTCTGTTTCCGTCAGTTTTTTAGAAAAATAGCCACAGGGATGCAGGGGTTGATCATTCGAGGATCTCTGAGAGAGTACAGCCCCGATCCCTGTCTCTGAAGCATCCACTTCTAACAAAAAAGGACGCAAAGGATTAGGGTGACTTAACACCGGGGCTGAAGAAAAGGCTAGCTTCAATTTTTCAAAGGCTTCCTTAGCTTCGGTACTCCACACCGTATGACTTCTATTCTTTTTTGTCATAGCGGTAATAGGAGCGGTAATAGAGGAAAATCCTCTGATAAACTTTCTATAGTAATTAGCAAACCCCAGGAAACGTTGGATGGCTTTAAGTCCAATGGGTAGGGGCCAATTTAAAATTGCTTCTAGTTTTTTAGGTTCCATTTGAAAGCCGGAACCTGAAATTATGTAACCCAAGAAATTCACCTTCTCCACGTCAAATAAACATTTTTCTAATTTACAGTAGAGTCCGTTTTTTAATAATTTGGATAACACTATTCTAACGTGTCTATGGTGCTCCTTGATATTCTTAGAGTAGATGAGTATGTCATCTAAATAAACAACAACAAACATTTGTAGACAGTCCCTTAATACATCGTTTATGAAATCTTGAAAGACTGCCGGAGCGTTGCATAAGCCGAAGGGCATAACCCTATATTGATAATGGCCATAGCGAGTATTGAAGGCCGTTTTCCACTCATGTCCCTTCTTAATTCGAACTAGATTATAAGCTCCCCGTAAATCTAGCTTAGTGAATATGGTAGCACCCTTTAACCTATCAAAAAGCTCAGTAATGAGCGGAATAGGATATGCATTTCGTATTGTTATTTTATTTAATCCCCGATAATCGATGCAGGGTCTCAGATCACCTTCCTTTTTGGAAACAAAAAAAAACCCTGCACCAGCCGGGGAGGATGATTTGGTAATAAATCCCTTCTTCAAATTCTCTGTGATGTACTCTTCAAGTACTTTGTTTTCTGTCACAGAGAGTGGATACACGGTACCCCTAGGGGGCATAGTACCAGGCAACAAATCAATAGCGCAGTCATAAGAACGATGGGGTGGTAATTTGTTTGCTTCCCTTTGTTCAAAGACTGCCTTGAGATCCCGATATGGTTCGGGTACTTGAGTGGTTAATGGTTCCATGGTAGGGACGTTGAGGAGTCCTATAGGTATAACTCGACTGATACACTCCTTAAAACAAGAATCACCCCATTTTACAATCTCTTTCCTCTCCCAGTTAATTAGAGGATTATACTTGGTAAGCCAAGGAAACCCAAGTATAATCGGAAAGGTGGGAGAAGGTATTTGCTGTAGGATTATGGTTTCTTTATGCAACGAACCTACAGTCAAGACTAAGGGTTTGGATTCTTAAGTAATAAAAGGAATGGATAATGGTCTACCATCTATGGCCTCAACGGCCAAGGGTGTTGATCTTTCTCGAAATGGGAGGTTGTGATGTTGGCCGAAAGTACGGTCAATAAAGTTCTCAGCTGCCCCAGAGTCTATTAGCGCAGAAGTAGTTATTAACTTTCCCTCCCATTCTATAGTTATCGGTAGAAGAAGCCTGAGTTCTTTCCTATCTTGGAAGGAGGACATACACGTTACACCCAAGGCCTGTCCTCCTTGAGGGCTTAGGCGTTGGAGTTTTCCGGCCGGCTTGGGCAGTGTAGGCGGGTATGTCCTCTTTTCCCACAATACATACAAAGTCCCTCCCTTCGTCTATATTGTCTCTCAGGTTCAGGCAACCGTGTGGCTCCCAGTTGCATGGGTTCTGCTGGAGCGACAGTGGTTTCCTCAGATGAAGGAAACGTTAATGCCAGGCGTTCCGGCATACGCCTAGGTCTATCCCTGGTGTTTTGTCTATGTCGGAGACGTTCGTCTATATGTGCTAGATATGTAATTAATTCCTCCAACACATTAGGGAGGTCTCGGGTGGCTACCTCATCTAAAAGTTTGTCAGAAAGTCCGTTCATGAACACATCTACAAAGGCCTGCTCATTCCATCTGACCTCTGCAGCATGAGTGCGAAATTCTAGGGCATAGTCCACCAGGGAACGAGACCCTTGTCTCATTCGTAATAGGGTTTTAGCAGCATTGGTACGTCTTCCAGGGGGATCAAATGTTCTCCTAAAGGCTGCGACAAACTCTGCGTAGTTGAAAACTATGGGATTGTCGTTTTCCCACAATGGATTGGCCCAAACTAGTGCTCTATCGACTAACAATGTTATAATATAACCAATCTTGCTCTATCGGTAGGATACGCCCTAGGATGAAGTTCAAAGTTAATACTTATTTGATTGAGGAAACCCCGACAACCCTTGGGATCACCTCCATAACGGAGAGGGGATGTGGCATGGGCAGAAGCCCCCCCTGCCGCCATCTCCAAATGAGGTTACTGGGGTCTAAGACCCGGGATATGGTCCTCTGGCTGTAGATGTGCAGTCCGAGCTAACAAGGTCTGAACAGCTACAGCAAACTGGTCCATACGATGGTCCAGTTCCTCAAACCGATTATCAGGAACCGGGCCATGAGGATTAGCACCTGCAGGGTCCATGGCCCTAGTGTAATGTCACGATAGTGACCCCTTCACACAGATGGTAACCCAGAAAGGGACGTATACCGGACCTTAGGGTGGCCGGACTTAACGTCAAAGAATAGTCAAGAAAAAGCCGAGGGTCAAGGGAGTACGGAAATCGGGATAAACGAGAAAGCCAAGCCAAAAGTCGGGGAGCCAGATAGGAGAATAGTCAGAACGAAAGCCAAGGATCAAAATACCAGAAAAACAGCTAAACAGTATAAGAGCACTAGGGGAACAATCAAGAACCACACTAGGGCACTGAGGGGTGGACAGGGATGCCCTTTTATACTAATGTGTGTGTGTCACTTTAAAGCCACGCCCCCAAAAGGTTCGGGAGCGTGGCCGCGTTTGAATTTTCGCGGCAAAATCATTATCGGATTTTGCCGCGAGCGGGCTGCCGGGGAAACTGCCGTGCCGCGCGGGATCGGCGGACACAGGTAAGGTATCGTCACAGCCTTATCAAGGGAACTAAATAGATTGACATATTTATTAATGTCTTTAATAAAGGATTCTCCGAATAGGAGACCTTCCGCAGCTGGACCAGGTTCGTAAGTGGCTAAATTTGACAGTTGAGGGTCAATTTTCATTAAAACAGACCTGCGGCGTTCGCTGGTCAGCGCTGCATTAGCATTCCCCAAAAAGCATATAATGCGTTGGGTCCAGCCTCTCAAAGTATCAATGCTGGGAGGATTCCCAGAAGCTGCCTCATGTTCTAAAGTTTCAAACATTTTAGCCACATGACCAGAAATGTCCATTAATTTATCTTGACAAGATTTTAGTGATTTTGTTAAAAATTGCACAATAGTGGGATCTAGATCCGGGGTCTGTGCGACTTTCTTTGACAAGGTCGGTCTAGGGCATTCAGCTCTTAGTTTATTTCTAGCTGCTTGGTCAAGGGGTTTCCTCAACCAGTATTCAAGATATTTGGCTACATGAGCCATAAGGACCCATTCGGCTGACCTGGGTTGTTTAATATGGTCTGGGTCGAATAATGGTTTACCATTAAAATCCAAAATAATATTCTCTTCATCAGATTTAGAGATAAGATCAGGTGTCTCTGAGATATATGAATAATTTGAGGCAGAATCAGAGACAGATTTTTCATCCCCTGAGATTGAAGATGAGTCACTATCTGATGAGGTTTTATAGGAGTCAGGTTTGCTCCTGTGAATGGACTTCCAAGCTCGTTTGTCTTCCTCACGAGTAGAGGGTCTTTTGAGTGATTGATTACACTCTTCAGTTTTGCATTGTGTTCTTGTCTTGGTCCTTCCCTATCTTAAGTGGCTTAGAGCTGCCAGGGGATTCTGCAGGACCGTCAAAGCAATGTTTGCATTTCTGGGTGGCCATCCCAGACCTCCAAAAACCTTGAGCTAGGTTCCGTTCAGACTCCACAGATGACCAGAACTGGTCTGAAGGAGTACTAATTAAATGAGTCTTCCCACTGGGTTTTGAGTTGTTTATGACTTGAGCCACAGACTTTGCAATTGCTTCTTGCATAGAAGACATTGCAGTATAAATTTCAGAGGAAACTGACTTTTGAACGGATAAATCCACAATATTTTGTAAAGAATCCTCAGTGAGTATTTCACAGTCATTAGAAACACCAGGTTTTGGTGACTCAATTTGTTTAATCTCTTTAGAATTCATAATTTACAAAATTGCAACAAATAGCAATTGTATCTACTATTCGAAAATAGTTGAATAATAAAAATGTTGCCAACTATGAGGGGAAATCCTGACAGGAAAATCAAATAGTTCAAGTTATAATAATAATTACCAGTAAAGAGTAACAAATTGTGAAGAAAAACGCTGTCCTGAGGTAAAGTGGGCGGAAAGGTTAGCTGAGGACCGCATGCAGCGGTTCGCATAAAACTGCAGAAATGACTGAACAGTGAATTGACCATTCGTATACAAAAAACCCTCAAACGCGAGAATAATAAAGTAATACGAAAAGTAAATGGGTGCAATTCATGTGAAAAAATTTACGAATGCGATTCATAGAAATAACTGACCTAACAGGTCAAAGACAAAACTACCGAACGCGGATGAACCGCGACTCCATTTCCAGATAGAATGCATGAAAGACAGTGCACCAAATATAAAAAAAATATATATTTTAAAACAATAAGAAGACATAGAATTACTTCAGAAAAGTATATATTCGAAAGGAATAAACACATATGTCAACATATAACCAAACTAGAAGGTATGTATAGAAAACAGTCAAGTCAGGTGACTGTGATTGACAATTGCTTTTGTTTGATTTGTTTATTGTGAACTGCTGAAAGGCTGTACATTTTGACAATAAACCTGATTTTCAATTGGGGTTGAATAATTCCGATTATAGCTGTAATTGTAGAAGTTGTAGTCCAACAGCATCATGGCGGTACAGTTCGACAACCCTGATAGAAATGATAATAATACGAAGCACTGGTTATGTTTTTATACACAAATCTAAAATAAAGTGCCTATAAAGCTTATAAAATAGTCAGAGACAGATTTACCTGTAGGCGGCAGCCTATTGAGAGATCTCTAGGAGAGGAGTAGTAGGTGCCTGCTCTACCACTTTAAATGTGTAGCTATGACTGTCTAAAGTCTGTCTTTTGGGTGAAGTAATGTAATGTTTCTTCATGGTTTTTGTATAACCCCACTGGAATGGAGGAGTGGTGGGGGCCAAAAAGGCCACTTTGTTTTTTCATTGCCTCATTGAATTATAATATGGCTACAACATGCCAGGCCTTGAATTGCTCTCTCTACAGCCAATGCAATTAATCTGGTGAGCAGGACATCCAAATACTTGTGTAAATGTACTCCCCCCATGTAATGTAAGATGGTGTACTTTCTCCCATGATGTCAGCTCAGAGGAGTGGAGTAGCGTGACATAAGCCTAGGGTCAGTTCTCTCTCTTCCCCAACTCTTATGCATGTGATGCACCAACGGATTCTGAAAATTGATTTTTGGCAGTTGGGGAGCCACGTCCGGTTGTGGCAGAAATGGAATTTAGGTGTTGGAGAAATATTTTGTTTGGAGTTTGGTTGCTGAGAGCTTTGCAGATGAAAACTAGGCTTTTAATCCATTGAATGAGTTAGCGCTTTCGACTAGGCAACGATTACATAAACTCATATTCTTATATGGTGTGAACAATTTGCCAAAACAAATCTATACATATTTTTTCCCTCAAAACTGGAATGTCTACTTGTTTGTGTAATATCAGTGACCAGATTAATTTAGATCAGAGATGAAAAATAAAAGCAATCAAGTATATAAGTGAATCTGGTCAACAGATTCTCAAAGCAAGATCAAAGCATCTAGCCAAGATCCTAGCTCATCACCTACAACTCCATAGTTATTTTTGGAGTCTACACAATACGCAGCCAGCTGTGATAATATGTGAATCAACTTTTAAACTGATATATTTGATTTGAATAACACTTACAATTCATCCAAGTTAGCATTTTTCCCTTAGTGTTTCCTTTTGAGCTTAAATCTTGCTGGTCGGTTTTCTTGTCACCAAAAACCACTGCTTAGGTAATAGACTAATTAGCTACCTTATGTATCAAGCTACAAAAAGTACTTTTATGGTTGCTTGATCTAAAACTACTTGTTCGATAGATGTCAGATATGAGTCTTTAGCAGAGAGTTCTAAGCAATATAGCAGAGCTACTTGGCATCGACAAGGGTATAATTGTGCTGATCCTTGCACCAGACACTAAACAGACTCCACTTTGCTTGGCATTGCTTGCTCCCTGGAGAGCACAATGAAAAATATAATTCTGCTTCCTGGAACTAAAAGTTACATTAAATATGAATTTTTTAACTACCCCTGCTTGATATAATGTGACTTTTTTAAAGTAGTAACTCTTCACTGTGCTTTATAAAAATATCAGCAAAAAACATACATCGAAGCAGTATCTCTGCATGGATCTCAGGAGAAAGGTTTCTTCTAGTGGGATGATTAGTGCATCACGTCTTTGTAAGACATGTAGTAACAATTTACTTGAGGTGAGAACCTAATTTATTAAATGCCAGAACCACAGCCATGTTGTGTTCATTTTCTTTATAACACGAAGGACAGACACAAGGTAATTACATTTGAGGGTCTTGTTTACCTTGTTTGCAAGCCATTGGATAGAAATAAAAGCTTTTATTGTTGAAATCTATAGGAAAAGCTTAAGAATGGGGCAGAGATAATTGACAAATGCAGCTATAAGCATCTGTGCCTGAAACATGATTGTTTTAGCAATACGTGATCTGATGTACTAAAGCACATTATGTTTTAAGGTCCAGCTCTCTCAAGATAAAATGGTTATAATATACAGCCTAAGCAAAGTTATATCATACCAAAAACACTTCTTTTTAGTATGTGGCGCATCTGTTTCTCAGTTAATTGTATTATTTTGGAATAATGAGCATGGCATTCACCACTAGGTCTCTGGACTGAAATTCGATCGATCCGATTAAGGATCTGATCTCTCTCTCTTCTGTGGAGAAAGCAGTGATGTTATTAATTATGCCATTCAATAATCTATAGAACGCTCCAGTTTCTCAAGTGTACAAGCAAGTGATACAGATTCCAAGAAAAAAACAAGGGGATTATTAATAACGAGCCAACAAAGAAGGAGAGTTTGTATTTGGTCTCCATGATGAATGGTCCACTTTAGGAACCATGCCATTTGCTCTTTGGAAGTTATACTCTTTTCTAAGTTATCTTGCTGTGAGCAAGCGTCACATTAATACAGCATCAAAGCCACAGTATCTTAGTAGGGATCATTTTATAAAAGAAAATAAAAACCTGAAGGATTATTTTGTTTGTGAACACAGATAATTTAATGCAAATATATTTGTACAATTATACAGTTGGTTCCACAATTAGATAAGACATAAACATAAAAATATAATACTTATAAGATAGGAAGAATGTCCTTATAGAATTGGTGACCATCTTACCGAGTATAGTCCAATATTAAATGTCCAAAACTGCAGAAATAAAACACCCAAGGATTTCCTCCCAATGTTCCAGCTTTGACAGGGTTAAACCCACACTGAGCTAGATTCTAAAAGAGACAGAGAAGCTTCCGATTGCTTAGAAACACTTTTCATGTAACCTCCACCACACACCACAAAATGTAATCACCTTTTATTGGGGCATATAATCTAGCCCCTATTATAAATCAGATTTTTGTGAAATATTGCAAAGTGTCCTGACTCTTCAATATCAGCTCCTGTTACCTGGATTGAACAGAGATACAGTTAAACGAATAGAGCCAGCACCAACACTCTAAATGCTGAATCTCACCTTAATCAGAGACCACCTGTCCCAAGATAAAAAGCACTCATAACAAACCACCAAAATATGCAATACTTTATGAAGCTAAAATAATCATCTAGGAACGTTGGCACAGGCTTACATTTTGCAGTGTCTGGCAAAGCAGTTGAATATACTCATCCACTGAGGGTCCATTTGTTCATCATGCTCCCTCTCTCACAAGCTGCGGTCCCACGTGACTAATGTGTTTTCCAAATATGTTTGCAAAAGGACACATTCTTAACAGATAGGGCATTTCAACAAGCTAAAGTGCTTTAGGTGTTTGGAGTGTTTAAGAATGTAAAAAAACAAACAAAATGCAGGTGACAATATCAGCATAGGAACCCTTATAATCCATGGAGGAGAAAATCCTGTTTCTCTCTTTTGAGAGAGCATACATCCAACCACACAGACGTATACAGATAAAAATGAAGCAGCATCTCTAAGTAGGGATAATCTAAGTACCATAATATCTTTAGTTTAATGAAGAAGTATTGGTGTATAGATCATGCCCCATGCAGTTGCACTGATTAATTCTTTGCCATTTAGGAGTTAAATAACTTTGTGTATATAGCCCAATCCACATTTCCCCTGACTAACATTGACCGGTTTGACTTGTGTTGCCCTTTGTCTTCACTACTTCCAACAGTGAATTTAAAATTCTTTGTCTGAGCTAAGCCCTGCAGTACAGGTCTTAGCTCATTGGCCAAAAGTAAAGGTAAACAGTAAAACCATTTTAAAACCAGGGCACTCCTGGCATCATAAGCACTACAGCATAGTGGTTATGGTGCTTGAAGTGTTCCTTTAAGGGTTAAAAGATAAATCACAACTTGCTTAATTGTCTTTGGGGAATGTTTTAGGCTTAACCAATTGACAGCAAAAACATATCTAGATTACATTTGTATAGTAGAAACTAACAAATTTTTTTCTTGACTAATGTTCAATAATTTTCACATAGCATGTTTACAAAATAACTACAACATGGGACAGCAAGCCAGTGATGCATTATCCAGTGACAATTACATTCGTACCACATGCAGAGGGGCTCATAATGGAAGTTACTTCTCTTTTCTTCAATGACCCTTCAGCTCCACCTGGTGAGCCTGGGCAACCCTTTGATGGACTCTGGGACTATGAAGGTGAGAGGGTGTAATAACCAATTTATTTTTCAAATATCGTTACTCCATCCATTGTTTATGTTTTATTTAGATTGTTTTGTATTCATTATCTCCATGAATGCTTCAGGTATGCTTTTCAAATTTATGTGAAATATGTCCTTTGGCTTGTAATATGTGGTTTGGTGTATGTTTGTTAAAAACAAAAACAACGTAATTATCTGGAGAAGTAAATTGATAGGTGGTGGATTTCACCCATGAGCTTGCATTTATGGGTGGCAAAATTCAATACTTCTAACAAATAATCATATGAAAGTCATTTTTTTTCCCATTTAAGGTTTTAATTGAGTATTTTTGTCAACATTTCAGGTGGGGAGGGATAGGGTACAGAAAGGAAAAAAGGGGGAAGGGGTTAGGAAACATACAGCTTTTGCATTGCCATTCCAGTACAGTAAGGGCAAGTCGGTTTGTAGCCGGCAGGTACAATACATTTCATTACATCACAATTTATTGCATAGGAATACGGTTGTCTCTTAGACATTGGCTTATTCTAGTCTGGTGTACACAATGGACTCATAGTTGACTCCTGACTGGCCTGTGGTAATTAGCATTGGTCCCTGTTAGGTGGTGTTCCTGGGACCTGTAGTGCCCGCTCTCCAAGAGCCCCAGGGCCCCCAAGCCTCTGTTGCCGTTTTTGTCATGGGGAAGACACTACGCTAACACATTTCATATATTTTTGGGGTGTCTACCTCTGCACACACTTCTGTGAGGCGTGCTATTGCCCTCTGTGCTGTCAGAAGGATGTGGAAGGCTACCTTCTGTGTCGCTGCCAGTATGCCAGGAGGCGTGTGCAGCAGGAGGCATGTCAATGGTGTCAGGGCAAACTGTGTGTGGGTAATGTCCTGTATTAGTTTATTTATTGCTTCCCAGAACCCATATATGAGAGTGCAGTTCCACCACACATGTAGCACTGTGCCCGCCTGCTTCCCACATCTCCAACATGTCGGATATTATTCCGGATATATCTTTTGCACTTTCGTGGGGACCATATACCATCTATACACTGTTTTTCTATGTTGCTTTAGCAATGTTTCTGATTTAATTACTCTTTTGGGTGCCGCTACTATGGCTTTACATTGCTCTCTTGTGATAGTGCACTGTGTATCCTGGGCCCACTGTGCTGCCTGTCTAGAATTTGCAAAGTGTGTGGAGGACTGGAGGATTAGATAAATCCAGGATAACGGTCTGCATCCCTTTTGCAACGAGCCTCTGACCGCCATCTGTTCCCATCCTGTCATCCCGACATCAAAGTCAGTCCCCTCAAGGGGTGTGGGGGGCTGGTTATCCAGTTTAGTCATGAAGGAGCTCAGCTGTATGTATGAGAATTGTGAGGCTTTTGGTATGGGGTGTTCCTCTTGCATGTCTTGGAATAATCTTAACTTGTGGCGTGTGGTCATTTGGGAGAGACGTGTGACCCTTATCTATCCACGATTTGGCGTTGAATGTTGGTATGCAATATCTTATATGAAAGTAATTTATGGGGTTTCATTCTCTTGAACATATCTACACTGGGGAGGGCTGGCAATGTTTGGCCTGTGGAGCAAGTACAATTGATGGTCTTTATGGCACATGAAACTCACAGGTTTCAATGTGGATGGTCATACAGGAGGGGGGCATCAAGCATATGGGTATGACAGGTGGAAGCTGGTTGCAAAATGTGCAGTCATGTATCCCTGCAAACTCCTAAGAGACATAAACTGTTTCCCACAGACTAAATTGTTAACGTTGAGAAACAGTGTTTGCTACAAATGTCATATCAGCCTGCTGTCTTTGGCAAGCACCTCCAGACACATCTTCCATACTGATTGTAGAATAGTAGACTGGTCAACTTCAGATCGCTCAGTCCACCCTTAATATCCAAGTGGGTCAATGGGCAGCCAGAAGGACTTGCATTGAGAAAGGGGAGAACCTGTAAAGGTTTGTACTTATTGTTCTTCAATAAACTAGTATGTAGCAGTTGGTGTGCACATTTGCAATTGATAGCTCTGCCCTCTTTATAAGTTTTGCTTTTGGCCAATGGACGGCATTAGGAACACAGGTCAAGCAGAAACAACAAAGGCTCTGCCCAATTCATGCCAGAACTATGCAAACATACATCCTAAAAACATCTCCCACCATTTTAATTAACAGACAAATAATTTCAGATATCAACTTTCCTTACACAAAAAAAATATGTTAACTGTAGTCTAGTGAAAAGATCAAAACAATCGTAGGCATCATAACATTTTCTTTTTTTAATGTTTTTACATTTCATGTATTTATTAAAGTTGCTTTGGAAGGGTCCTTATTACTTGACTCGATAGCAATATTGCATTTATGCAAATTGAAAAATATCTGCCAGATTTCCATAGACCTGCCAAATTCAGCAATTTTAAAAAACGCCCCATGGAGAGTAGACTTAAACATCCAGCTCATTAGATTTGAACTGCAGTTGTTTCTGCCGTATTCCTGCTGAGTACCTGTGACTTCTCTTGATGAGTCGACAATTTTATTGGATGTTTATTTTGACCCACTACAGCATCGTTGTTTTATAAATATTTACCATTTCCTGCTTAGCCTGTGGTTCTCCTGAAAGAGTAAAATGAAAAACATAGGGATTCTGTTATTAAAAAAGAAAATAATCATTTATTGAGATCAATACGAGAAGTATGTATTTTCATTATGATTATTGGAATTTAATAAATACCGAGAAATTTCTCTTTTGTTTTGTCACTACCTTTTCATTAATGTATAGTCCCATAAAAAAATAAATAGAAAAATCACTGTGTGCGTTATAGTGCTTAGTGTTAGATCACCATTAGTTCTGCATACACTGGCAAATGAACCTGTTGGTAGTCAGTACACGCACTCCCAGCTCTGTATTGGATAAAAGGTATCATTTCTGGTTTAGATTGATCTTTCTTAATGCAGTATAATCTTTGATCTCGTTTTGTAGATTGTATGAATTCTACATTAGGAAATAACACATGCTGTGTTCAGGAATAAGCTGACTTAGGGTTATTTAAAGCAGGCTTACATTTCAATACATTATTTTATATCTATTAGGCATGCTGAGTATATACTGATTTAAGACCATCACTAGGGCATATAAAGATCTCTCAAATATTACTGATGGAAAGTTCTGACAGTGAAAGATGAGATCGTTAATAATACGCATGACCTAACGTGTCACTATCGCTGCGCGGATCACAAGCACACAGCTGCTCAGAGACAAAGTGCAGCATTTTCTTCACAAACTTGAACAATATCTTTTTAAGTTCAATGGAGAGGAGATTGCAACAATTCTAGACCTAGGTTCTATTAGCTAAACGCTGAATAGCAGTAAATCAAAAAACTACATTTTCAAAAAATTAGTTAACTAGAGAAAACATGTCGACGTGACAATACATTATGTATTAGTCTAATGTGGATAACATTTCATAAAATAATAAGTTTTTCTTTGTTCAACACTACACTGAAAACAAGTATCTTGTTCAAGTTCATTCGTCCTCCCAAAAAGGATTTTAACTTCCACCTTTCTACATTGTGTGTTTTTGAGCAAACCAATAAACTCTAACTGTTCGTTGCTGTAACGTTATTTTATTTTATTGCTTGCAGTGGTTGAATCTTTTTTTCTGAACAGCAAGACCACTCAATATCTGGAAGTTGAGCTTTGCCCGTAAGTACATTCCTGCCTTTGTGTGAAATCATTTTTAAGTGATGAAAATAGTGACTTACGCCCGGCAGCACTGAACTGTGAATGCTGTAGACATTTAGCAATGGGACAGGTACAACATTGACTGTAAATGTACAGAGTTTCTATAAACTGTTAAGCTTTGACAGCCCTGACCCTTTGTCAATGTAAGACAGAAAAAAATGGCTCTATTTTACACTGTCAGTGAAACTCAGCCAAGAGGGAAGCATTTCGGATTAAGACATGTTTTAGTTGGCTGATGTACAAGCGTGCGTGAAGTCTTTAAATCTTGCTACTGTGAAAGACTCTGAATGACATATACACACTTCTTTATCCGAGCGCTGCAATGTCTTTGCCAACCAACCGTTGTAAATTTTGATGTTTTAGGGAACGAGATAGTGGTTTTGAGTAAGATGAAGACATACAATCCCCAGCGTGTGATTCCCATTTTACAATTTTCCTTTTAATACCTCTTCTAATGTAATGCTTTTGGTGACTGTGCATTATCTTCCTGCTTCCTCTTCTTTTTGATATCATTGACTGGTTCTTTGCTTTTTTAAAAATTTATATTCACTGAGGGCAGCAGAATAAATGTATTTGGAGGCAACAAATTCTATGTCCTTTCCTTCATTTGCAATATAAACAATAATAATAATAATAGTGTTAACAAGACTTGCGCACAAATCCCAATTGCCAAATGGCTGTCAATCTATGGGCGAGCAAATAGATTTGTTTGGGGTTGCCTCTCTAATCAATTCGTTTGTCCATAGATTGATAGATATTTGATTAATGAAGCTGAAAGGGATTTGTGCACAAGTCTCGTAACAACCAGGGCACCAAATCAGATTTATGTATTATGGTGATTTTATTGAATTTAAAAGTTGTATTGGGTTTTCAGCACCTCAAGTCATTGTTGGTTTAGATGGGTTATATCTGAGCATCAGCACTAACAGTATATTAGAAGTGATATTTTAGGTTGCTCAATAACTTGTCTTCTCGTACATTAGTATTTCAGAATTTGTTGGGGGTCATTGTCGTTTCAGGTGAATTTGATAATCATCAGCAACATATGAGCCCATCAAGAATGAAATTGGGAAACAAGATAACCTTCAAGAACCTCCTCACAGAAATGTTGATTGTCCTTGGTCAGACAGATTATTTGATGTGGATTGATATAGTTATTTGGTCAGGATCCTGTGGAGTCTCATAACATGGGTTATTGGGTCAAATCTTGCCTGTACAAACTACGCAAGCATAGTTGGAAAAGCATTTCTAAAAGATGTAAAATCTCTCAGTACGGGTTAGTTTTCATGCCGAAAACAAACTGTTACAAAAAATGCTAGGAGTGAGCCAAGTGTGTTTTAGGTCACGCATCTGCTAGATGAACCATCACATATCTCTGTTTTATGGAGTGCCAAACTATAAAGCATTGACTTTCTCACAGTTTTCACATGGAGTGACAGAAAATAAGTTATTACCTGTATTATACCTGATAGACATTTTTTTTTTATAACCGGGAATTTTGCAGATCTTTACCCTAAATTAAAGGTACCTTAAGAAAACTAATCTCATTGTGTTAGGGAAGAACAATATATCAGTTTAAAACAGTGTTATGAAAAAAGAAATCAGAGTGAAATGCAGCAGTTAGGTTTTTCTCTAATCTGTGATTGAAAAATATACCAACTTCTAAGCTCACAAAATCCAATAGTTTTTTTGGGGGATAATAATAATAATCAGTATTGCGTTACAGTATATGATCATACATTATATAAACCTGCAACAACATCAATGTACCCCATTATTGGCAGGTCCTATTCTAGCAACCTAATGCCTGATTTTATGAGAATAATCCACTTACTTGGGAAATCCATCCTCCTGGGGCCTTTGCAACGCATGTATGTTGTATAAATTTCCCCCAGAAGCACCCTTATAATCTCATAAGAACAGACATTAGGTTGTTAGAATAGGATCTACCAAAATAATATACATTGGCATAGTCAGGGGCGTATTAGCCGCGAGGCAAACAAGGCATTTGCCTTGGGCGGCATTTTTCAGGGGGCGGCGCCCCGCAAATGCCCAAGGCAAATGTCTTGTTAGCCTCGCGGCTAACAGACATTCTGGGCGCTGGGCGGGCGGCCGGCGAGGGAGCTCTTCCCCTGAACGCTCTGCTCAGCTCCCTCGCGCGCCGCCAGCAGAGTGAAGCTGGGAGCCGGGTTGATGAGCAGAGCGCTCAGGGGAAGAGCTCCCTCGCCGGCCGGCCGCCCGCCCGCCCGCCCTGCAGCCACTGGACCCCAGGGAGAGGAAGAACCCCCCCCAGCATTACCAAAGGTAAGGAGGCTGGGGGGGGTTAAATAAAAAAATAAAATAAAAAACACTAGTGAGTGTGTGTATGTCTGCTAGTGTGTGTGTGGATGTCTGTTAGTGTGTATGTTAGTGTGTGTGTGTGTGTGTTAGTGTGTGTATGTTAGTGTGTCTGTTAGTGTGTGTATGTTAGTGTGTGTATGTCTGCTAGTGTGTGTGTGGATGTCTGTTAGTGTGTATGTTAGTGTGTGTGTGTGTGTGTGTTAGTGTGTGTCTGTTAGTGTGTATGTTAGTGTTAGTGTGTTTATGTTAGTGTTAGTGTGTGTGTCTGTTAGTGTTAGTGTGTATGTTAATGTTAGTGTATGTATGTTAGTGTTAGTGTGTTGGTGTCTGTTAGTTTGGATGTCTGTTAGTGTGGATGTCTGTTAGTGTGTGTGTTTGCCTGTTAGTGTGTGTGTTTGCCTGTTAGTGTGTGTGTGTTTGCCTGTGAGTGTCTGTTAGTGAGTGTGTGTTTCTGTTAGCTAGTGAATGCGTATCTGTCAGTGAATGTGTGTGTGTGTATTTAGAAGGCGGAGCAGGGGGGAAGGTTGGGTGGCGGTTGCGCGGGTGGGGGTGGCACGGGGGGGTGCCTGAGTTTTGTCCTGCCTAGGGCAGCACAAAACCAGGATACACCACTGGGCATAGTGGTAGGCTTATGCAATGTTTGATCATATACTGTAACTAAATCCAAATTTTTTGCCCAAGTAAGGTGCTTTTAAAAACAGTGTTATATTTTGTGAGCTTAGAAGTTGGTGTTGAGGGAGTGCGTTGGATCTTGCATGTTACACACATACATTCATACTTATATATCAACACTGATCAGCCACAGCATTAAAACCACTTGCCTAACATTGTGTAGGCCCCCCTTGTGCTGTCAAAACAGCTCTGATGCATCAAGACATGTCACAAGAACTATGAACATGTCCTGTTTCATCTGGCACCAAGACATTAGCAGCAGATTCTTTAAGTCTTGCAAGTTGCGAGGCGTTACCTCCATGGATTAGATTTGTTGTTCTAGCACAGTGATGGCAAACATTTTGAGTCTAAGTGCCCAAACTGCAATACAAACCAACTTTTTTTCCTCAAAGTACAAACAAGGCACTGTGATTGTGAGGGGTGCAGTGTGTGTGATTGTGAGATGTGCAGTGTGTGTGTGGTTGTGACGGGGGTGCAGTGTGTATGATTGTGAGGGGGGTCAGTGTGTGTGGTTGTGAGGGGTGCAGTGTGTGTAGTGTGAGAGAGACTTTGAAGTTTAGGATTGGGGCTGAGTGTTGCAGGGTCTGAGAGGGGAGCATCTTTTTAATTTTATTATTATATATATTTTTTTTATATTTTAATTTAATATTTTTTTTAGTGTTTCACCCCTCCCTGTTTCTTACCTGCTTCCGGGGCAGCTTTTTCCCTGGTGGCACTGTATTCCCTGGTGGTCCAGTGGCACTCTAGGTAGGGGGTCTCAATCTTCACCTCTGCAGCTCCGTCAGGTGAATGCACTTCCCGCGAGTCCTGGCACCACATGGAATCGAGCACTGCCGTGGTAACAACGGCAACACTCTGAAAGACGCAACTCGGCAGCAGGCGTAGAGGAGAAGGCTGAGAGGCTCTTTCCCCCTTCCTGCTGCACAGCTCTGCAGAGACCCTCACCGGGTCTGTGTGTATGTAAGGGGCCTGAGCTTACTGGGCACCTTACAAGTGAAATAGTTTGGTGGCATATTGCCACATTGCCCCTCCTGGATCCGCTACTGCATCCCACCCACCAACGATATGAAAGCAGAGTAGGCACCTGCCGTTTTGGGCAGGCAGGTGCCTACTTTGCATTGCCGCCGGGGGGGCCTAAGGCTGCCGGCTGATGCCAGCGGCGCCCCCCAAGCCGCGTGCCAGCTATGGCATAGAGAGGGCTCGGCATGCCAGCTATGGCACGCGTGCCATTGGTTCACCATTGCTTTCTAGCACATTCCCCAGATGCTCAATCGAATTGAGATCTGGGGAACTTTGAGGCCAAGTTCAAGAAAATTTAACTCTTTGTTATGTTCCTCAAACAATTCCTAAATTTTTTTTGCAGTGTGGCAGGGTGCATTAACATTCTGAAACAGGCTACTGCCACCAAGGAACATGATTAAAATGAAGGGGTGTAAGTGGTCTGTGTAGCAGAGCCCTGGTCCTGCCCAGGACTTTCCTCCGCTGGATCACCAAGTAATTTGGGAGACAAACAAGGGGCTACAGATAACCGAACACAAGGGAATAGAGTCTGTTACAGTCTGAAACAATCTCTAGGTAGGTGGTATATGTAAAAATAACATCCACATGAATGTAAGGATCCAAGGTTTCCCAGCAGAACCTTGCCCAGATCATAACACTGCTTCTTCCTGCTTGCCTTCTTCCCATAGTTCATACTGCTGCCATCTCTTCCACAGGTAAATGATGAGCACACATCTGGCCAGTCCCATTATTTAAAAGAAACTTGATTCAACAGACGAAGCAACCTCTTCCATTGATCCATGGTCCAGGTCTGATGCTTATGTCTCCATTGACATGGGTCATCACGAGCTCTCAGATTGTCTGCAGCCTGTGCATCAATGAGCATTGGGCGCCCATGACTCTAACACTGGTTCACCGATTATGCTATCTTGCACCACTTTTGGTGGGTTCTAACCACTGCTTACTGGGAACACCACACAAGAGTTGCCATTTGAAGATGCTCTTACCCAGTCGTTTAGCCATCATTATTTGGCCTTTGTCAAAGTAATTCAAATCTTTTTGCTTACCCATTTTTCTGCTTCAAGTACTAACTATTCACTTGCTGCCCAATATAGCCAAACCCTTGGCAGGAACCATTGTAATGATATAATCAATGTTATTCACATCACCTGTCAATGGTTTTAATGTTGTGGCTTATCAGTATATATATATATATATATATATATATATATATATATATATATACATATACATATACATATATATAATTCATATATATACATATATATATCTATATGTGTGTGTGTGTGTATACTATTAGAGTCTTATGATAGAATACTATTAAGAAGATAAGCATGAATTCTTTATAAAACATGGTCTTGACAAGTGTGCAGAAAACCTAACATTTAAAGTAAGGATATGTGTGATCCAATGTCTCATCACATACAAACAATTCACACACACATATATATAAATTGTTTGTATGTGAGACATTGCATCACACCATATCTTTGCTTTCAGATTTAGCTTTTCAGCACACTTGTCAAGACCGTGGGTTACAAAGGGTTCATGCTTATCTCTCTAAGTGCCAGTTTTAATAGTATTCTATCATAAGCCTCTAGTCTTTTTAGATCATACGCAGGGCATTCCGTGGAATTGTTTCTTTAGCGTTCAGACTATGAAGATGGCATAAAATATCAGTGGTTTTTAATATACTCATCCGGCATTGTTGAAACAATTATATATATTAAAAATTTCCCATTTTTTAACAGATTTCATCTGAATAACCGGTTGCTTGCTGTCATTTCCTAGCGCTGTCTTTACATCAGTTTTCTAGTGCACGTATGTCACAATATGAAGTGTTAAAAGGCTAGCTTATGTTCATTTATTTAGAAGCAGCCGCTGGCAAATCTTCCGGCTGATATGCATAAGAAAAATCAAAGCATAAAAAATATGCTCTCTGGAGCATTAGCTAAATGTGTTTGGCAATCTGTCACTGACCAGTTAGCACCAAAAATACAAATACAGTATTGTCATATGCATCAAAGGAAGTGTAAAGATTCTCCCTCCTTTCAGGGTTCTCACCACTAACAGTTTTATCTCTTTCTGGGAGAACTGGATATGTTTGAACTTTTCACTCTGAAATAGGCTACTCCTGTCCTCCGTCAAAGTTATTTTTTTAAAAGGACCGGTATAGGTGGCAAGAGAGGAAGATGTGCAGGGCAATTTACATGTGTTTCTCTACATTTATGTTCCTCTGTCAGGGTAATTCACTAAATATGTAGGAAATTCAATGCGAATGTCTAACGCAATGCCAAAATAGCCAAATATTCTTCCAGTCCAGTGAATATGTCCTTAAATTGGAAATTTGCTTTGAATTCATAGTTACATAGTTTCACAGGCTGAAAAGAGACATGCATCCATCAAGCTCAGCCTTCCTCAAATCAGTTTTTTGCTGTTGATCCAAAAGAAGACAAAAAACAAACAAACAGTTTAAAGCACTTCCAATTTTTCAACAAACTAAGGAAAAAAAATCATTCTTGACCCCAGAATGGAAGTCAGATTTATCTCTGGATCAAGAAGCTATCAGTCTACAGTTTAAAAATTATATTCTTGAATATTCTGTTTTTGCAAGTATGCATCTAGTTGCTGTTTAAACATCTGTACAGACTCTGATAAAACCACTTCTTCAGGTAGGGAATTCCACATCCTTATTGTTTTTATGGTAAGGAAAACCTTTCCTTTGACTTAGACTAAATCTTTTTTCTTCCAGTCTAAACGCATGACCTTGTGTCCTATGTATAGACCTGTTTGTGAATAAATTTACACACAATGGTTTTTATTTACCTCGGCTGTTTGGATAATGTTATCATATGTCCTCTGAGGCAAAGTTTTTCTAAACTAAAGAGGTTTAAATTTGTTAAACATGCATTCCTGACACTATATAGTTAAAACCACCATATAGCCACCCTGGTCCCCTCATGCCTCCCTAAATATAGTAAAATCTTACTTGTATTCGAGCCTGAAGCTGCTTGCGTTGTCCCTGTTTCCTTTAGACCTGCCCACTGCCTGCAGACATCATCAGAAGTGGTAGCCTGATCCAATCACAATGCTTCCCCATAGGATTGTCTGAGACTGACAAAGAGGCAGATCAGGGGCAGAGCCAGCACAAGTCAAACACAGCCCTGGCCAATCAGCATCTCTTTATAGAGATGAATTGAATCAATGAATCTCTATGAGGAAAGTTCAGTGTCTGCATGCAGAGGGATGAGACACTGAATGTTTGGATGCATTTTAGGCAGCCATGACCCAGGAAGGATCTCTAACAGACATCCAAGGAGTGGCCAGTGAAGTTATCACTAGGATGTACTATAAACACTGCATTTTCTCTGAAACAAGCAGTGTTTACAGCAAAAAGCCTGGAGGTAATGATTCTACTCACCAGAACAAATCCAATAAGCTGTAGTTGTTCTGGTGTCTATAGTGTCCCTTTAACCTTTCTTCATAACTAAAAATGTTCCATTCATTTTATTAATCTTGTAGCCCGCCTCTGCACTCTTTTCAGTGCCATAATATGCTTTTTTTGGAACAGGTGCCCAAAATCCACAGCATATTCAAGCTGTGGTCTTACCATCAATTTATAAAGAGGAAAAATGATGAATTAATGTTGTTTTTTTTATACATGACAATACATTACTAGCCTTAGCCATTGCTGATTGACATTGCACATGGTTGCCTAGTTTGTTCTCTATAATAATCCCCAAGACTTTTTCTTGTGTTGTTATCCCTAATTCACTTCCATTAAAGGTATACATTGCTTGTGCATTCTTTATGCTGAAGTGCATTACTTTGCATTTTTCTACATTAAATTTCATCTGCCATTTGAGTGCTCCGTCCCCCAGTCTATCCAAATCCCTTTGCTCACATTGTATTACTTTACAGAGTTTTGTGTCGTCTGCAAACACCAAAACACAACTGTCAATGCTTTTTTCAGGATCATTTATAAACATGTGAAATAGAAGGGGTACCAGCACCTAGAAATTTTTTCCATATGCTATTTTTCTAATATTATATATGGTGACTATTCATTAAAAGACTGTGTGTGAGTAATGACTGTGTTTTGTGTAAGTGTGGGTAGTTGTAAGTGTTGGATTTGTCTGCATGTGATGTATGAGACCATGTGTGAGTTTTTATGAGTAATCTGTGAGGCAGTGTGAGTATATGTAAGTGATATGTTTGGGTAGCTATGAGTGATGTGTGTGGTAGTGTGTAAAGTGTATTGTAGCTGTGAGAGCTATGCTGCAGATGAATGTGTTGTGAGAGATGCTGGGAAGGCAGTGAGGAATATGAGGAAAGAAGGGATGCGCAGAAGTGATAGGAGGGGTCATAGGCGTGCGCACGGGGTGTGCCGGGTGTGCCTAGGCACACCTTAATCCCCGCGGCACGCGCTATGTGCCTCCCTCCATGGGCCGGTGAGGGAGATCAGGAGAGGACCCGGGAAGCTCTTGCCAGCAGCTCCACCGGGTTCCTCTCGCACACTCGGAGCGTTGCCGCTCGTGAGAATGAACTCTAGCCCCACAGGGAGCTAGAGTTCACTATCCACTGGACCACCAGGGAAGGCAGGAGTACGGTCCATCCTCCGTACATAAGGTAAGAAGGGAGGGGGGATATTAACTAAATGGCCCCCACACATTACACACAAACATACAGCACACACACATACATCACCCTTACACACACAGCACACACACTAACAGCACCCTTACACACACAGCACCCTCACACATACACACACAGCACACACTAACAGCACCCTTACACACACAGCACCCTTACACACACAGCACCCTTACACATACACACACTAACAGCACCCTTACACACAGCATCCTCACATACACAGCACCCTTACACACACAGAGCACACACTAACAACACCCTTACACTAACACCTTGACACATGCACACACTAACAGCACCCTTACACACAGCACCCTTACACACACACAGCACACACTAACAGCACCCTTACACACACAGCACCCTTACACACACACACTAACATCACCCTCACACACACAGCACCCTTACACACACAGCACCCTCACCCATACACACAAAGCACACACTAACAGCACCCTTACACACACAGCACCCTCACACACACACACACACACACACACTAACAGCACCCTTACACATACATACACACAGCACACACTAACAGCACCCTTACACACACAGCAGCTTCACACACACACAGCGCCTTCACACACACAGCACGCCCACACACACAGCGCCTTCACACACAGCACCTACACACACACACACACACACAGCACCTACACACAGCACCCTCACACACACAGCAGTGTGTGTGTGTGTGTGTGTGTACGTGTATATATATTTATATATAAATATATATATACGCGGCGTGTGTGTTTCTGCTTTACGGTGCACACCCTTATACAATAGGCTTTCGAATGGGAGGGGTATGGAATGGTTGGTTGGGAGTCAATGGAGGTTACAGAGAAGAAGGGATGAGTTGGAGTGATAGGGTGAGGAGGGAGGGATGGTTAGAGTCATCCAAGGATGGGGAAAGAGAGCGATATGTGTTGAAGTGATACAAGTATGGGAAAAAGGGAGGGATGGCTAGAAGTGGTGGTAGAGATGGTTGGGAGAGATTGGAGGATGAGGTGAGAGAAAGGGATATACACAGAATTGACATTAGTTAGTCCTCTTGCAACTTACCTGAATATCTCTGTATGTGCAGCATTTCACTACAGTGTGCTGCAGTGGTTATGGTACTTGGAATAATCCCTTAATGCTTATCATGTTTTTGACAATGACAACCAGGGTATTTTGTAGAGGGAATTTTATTTTTTCATATCTTTTCATTAATTTATAAATTATTCTCACTCACTTCTAAAGGTTTAGCTGCCAATATTTTGTGTAAAATGTTAAATTATGACTTGCTTTCACCATCTTATATAATATACTCCCTAAATGATCACTGTAAGCATGGCAACAACATTGCATTTATTTGTGATACAGACAGTATATAATTGCAGTTATTTGTTAGAATCAATGGAGCTATAAGACAGTCCCCCAAGCTGTCAATAAGCTGCCAATCAGCTGGAATTCTGCCCTGCTCATATCACTTTAGTTGTGTGTGGGGTTTGGTGCACAGAGAACTTCATGAGATCTCTATCTGCTGTCCAGAAAGTGATGTGCTGTGGCTGTGCATGAGCCAATGCATACTTCAACAAGTGGTCTGAGCTTGGTTATTCTGTTTGGGGGCCACCATAACTACAAATTGCATGCATGGGTTCAGAGTTTAACATTATGACGTCTTTATTGTGCTTTGTAATGGACTTGTGCATATTGATGAGATATAGAGATTTGTCATTGTTTTGGGAAATTTTACTCTGGAGGCTGCATTGTAATCATTGCTATCTTGCAGTGCAATTTTTTCTAAAATAATCCTAATTTTATGAGACCTCTGGTCAGCTGAACAATTAGTATTAATACAATAAACAGTGCTTAGTTTTTTTTATTTAATTTTTTTTTATTTATGCACTCTCTAACCTCCTCCTCACCTCGCTGATTATGTGTGACGGTACCAGAGGAATATTTAAATGGGAACTTTTCTATAATCACGGCAAGTTCAATCGCTCTGTAATCCTTTTGTGTTATAATAAGGTATCGGCATTCTTGCAAGTTGATCTATTTTAATAGCAGCTACAAACGTATTTCAATCTGTTTGGAAAATCACACTTGTACCTTTCCCTTCATTCTAGGCATGGGCAGCATCTGGTGTTGTTACTCTGTGGAGTTGGAAATGCCTTTAAAGTGAGTACTGAAACACAAAACTGCTTGCAATGATCACAGATTTAAAAAAAAAAAAAACACCTCAAAAGGAATCATGTTTATTATACAAACAAGTGGAGACGAACTTGACACCTCAACCTGTCATTATCACACTATGAATGTCATAGGGAAGAATGATTTTTACTCGCTCACAAATTACCTGTTTCTATAACTGGATTATGCCATTTCTGGGTAAGAGTTACTTAGAGAGAGGTGATTCAAAGGGACACGAGCATTGCAATGCATTAGCTAGTTAGAAGTGATAATCCATTCCTTTTAAACACCTAACCATGGGCAAAAACCAGCCTGCATTTAAATTCAGGTCTCACGTATTGGTACACTGTAAGACATAATGCACAATTCATGATACAATCAATATTTAGTAAGATGGAAAATGGGTATTATGCGTATTAATTCTGTTGTTTTCAGAGATGGCGGAAGCACATTGTGGGGTGCTAATTGATTGATTCTTTTTTGAATTAATAGTGTTCTAGTAGAATTAGGTTGCTTTTTTAAAAGGACATTTAATAGGTTGCATGCTGCTCCTCCTGCTCTTATCATTTTTTTAGTTTTTTTATGTCTTTAAACTAGTTTCTGCACACAAATAAAACAAGTTATTTATAAATGCTTTACAATTTTAGTAGCATTTTTAAGCACTAGGTATCTTTTTGCATCAAATATGTATTCATGTTCATTTGAGGACTTCTGTATGGGGCAAAGTGGCAGACATAAATGCGATTTTTTTTTTTTAAGTAAACAAGAGACAGCTAGTGATCACCTTTAAAAACAGTGTTATATAGATCAGAATGCTCTAAGATGATTTTGCTTGTTTTAGCTTTTCTGTTGATCTTCTGATCCAGGGCCTAGCTGAAAGGGTACCTGTAACCCCCCTTGCCTGCCCTATAAACTATGCTAATTTAAAATGTATTCATTTTCATTTTGTACTGCGCTACGCTCATTGTACAGAGCTAAGGAATCTTGAGGAGCTATATAAATAAAATAATAATAATAATAATGTTGTGTATACATTTGGGAGAAAAACCTTTTTAAAAATAGGTCTTTCACCTATGTCAGTCAAATGTTTGGCATAAACGCTACACTGACGGTTTTGACTGACAAGGAACATTAGCAGTAAAGACCACTGATAGGAAGTCCTTCTCTTCGACCAAGCATAGCAACCACAGACCAGCGCTGCAGTTGCTATGGAAACTCCCTAGTTGATGTTGCTAGCGCTGACTAGGGATAACAGGAATGGAGTGACTGACATCAACCCATTCAGATGCTGGCAGCAAAGCCGGTGTGACAGCGTCACACAGGAGACTGTTCTGCTTGGGGACATGGACATAAAATAGGGGAGTGGGTGGACATGAAGAGTAACACCCACCATCACATTTATCTTTGGGATATGATGCTTTCAAAATATTTGGGTGGATTTAAGCAAGCTACAAGTCCACTTTAACTTTTTTGATTCTTTTTCTTTTAATGTCCTGAACGTAGTTGGCTTTTGTTTCCTCTCTGCTTTCTATTCTTACCAACCCTGGCTTATTTGTAATTATCCTACACTATAAAACCTTGACCTTAGACTATTTACATTAGTCACCTTTATTATTATTATTATTATTATTTTATTATTTATATAGCACCATCAGATTCCGTAGCGCTGTACAGATGGCCCTATTTTTCTCTTACCACAATTGGTATATCTTTTAACTGGACCTGACTACAGTAAAGGCCTGCAACACATTATTCTTTAACTTTTTTTTGTGTGTGTGTGTGTAATTTGTATTTAAGGGGTACCCCTATTGAAGGTTATTCTGACTTTGGCAGTCTGTTAATCTACAACTGCTGACGAACTACATTTTTTTTTTTTTTACAAGTGACTTAGCTGTCAGCTATTCTCGAGGGCCTTCATTCATGATTTGCTGAGTTAGTTTCCACTACTGACTCCAAAGGAAAAACCAAATGCATTGGGGTCAATGGTGGGAACAAACTCAGCAAACCTCATGGGAACCTCCATGAGATTTGCCGAGAGCAGCATTTTAAGTAAATATGTACTACTCTATCTGTATATTTATATGTGTTGCGTTTGATCAGACTTGGACATTATGTGCTTACTTATCGATATGTTTTTGTTGGGTTTTAGATGACTGTATGCTATACATTAGTGCAGAATTTTTAATCATTGTTAGATGTTCTATTGCATTGTTGTCTGTTGTGAAATAAACTGGCAGGTGACAGTGCTGTCTGTTTGTGGTTAGCGTAAAGTAACATTACATTCTGTTATGTGGAATTTTTTTCCTTTTGGCTGCAGCCTTGAATCTGCTACTTATATTCCATTGTCAGGGTAAACATACATCCATTCAAGGATATACACAGGAGTTTGAATGGAAGAAGGACATTCGTAAATGGACTGATATCTGTTAGGAAAACACACTGTACATTGTAAAACCAACAGGGAAGGTGATATCACTGATATGCAATTTTTCAAGGTCACAATCTTAATTGCATTGATAACATTATTCAGAGTAATTTTCATTATCACTTTCTGTCGTTTGTGTTCTACTGGCAGTTAGCTTATTGCAAATCAGTACTTTATTCTCATTTTTTTTTTGTGCTGCTGTAATTGAGAATGGTAAATTTCTTTGATCATTTATGCTAGTGCTGGCAACATATATCTTCTTAATAGTGAACCATTTGTTAGAATAATGCCAGAAAATCTTCAAATCCCTTGTAAATTGGTTTCACAGATTTTCTTCAATCAAATTAATCATAAAGCCACCTGAATATGGAATCAAAGCACGTCATATAGATTTTTCTTACATAGAGCCAAGGACCTATTTTGATCATCTGAACCTCCCCTTCCCCCCGGGCCACATCGTCTTTTGAATAATGGAGTAATTTATTCCGCATAAGATATTATAGGATATGTAATGGAGCTTGTCTCAAACTAAAGTATTCCTTTAATATATGGCAATAATATTTCCCTTTGCCTAGAAGAATATTAATACTTCATTTTTTGATTAGACAGAAGGTTTAGGGCAAATATCTGATCAATATGCACTGCAGATGCTGACAAACATCCAATGCTAAGCATTAGTTTAGCTGTGATTGTTTAGTGCTGCTAGGGAAAGGAATCCAGCAAGTTGCATGCAGTCAAGCAATCACAGTTAGAAATCGGGTTGGCATCTGTTTGCCTGAAAATAATAATAATTTCAAAAACACTTTATGTTGATAGCATTACTTCTGAGCATCTGACAAATGACTTAAAGGAACACTCAATGCACAATAAACACTATGTGCCCTAGTGCCCTCCTGGAGTAATCCGTCAAAACCTTTTAGAACGGATGCCTACTAAGCTACGCAGAGACATGCAGGGCCACTCTCTTTGATTGGGAGTGTCAGCTGAGCTCTCTCAGCCAGTTAGTGGGGACTTGTGTCCCTTTAGCTTTAGCTCAGTTAAGACATCTGGATTTTTCTTCAGGCTCCAAGGCACGTGTGGCAGCATAACCACTAGAGCAGAGTTGTAGTGGTTATGGTGTTTGGAGTGTTCCTTTACAATTGAATTCAGAAAGTTTGTACCATTTGTTTTAGGTTCCTGTGTTACACTGTTGATTTAATCTAAGAGTAGTAGGTGCATGTACTTGGGATGTGCACAAGATTCTCAATAATCAATCAAGTTAAATGTCTGTGAAGTTTTAAAGTGGCAGACTATATCAACTTACTAACAGACGATCGCGCCTTGTCAGACAGTGAGCTGTCCATGGTTCTGGAGCAGTGCATTTAGTTTATAGGTAATCAGTCATGAAAATATTAGTGCAGTTCAGGGGTAGGAAACCTTTGGCACTCCAGGTGTTTTGGATTACATTTCCCTTGATGCTTTGCTGGCATTATGGCTGTAAAAGCATTATGGGAGATGTAGTGCTGAAGGTTGCCTGCCCGTGGTGTAGTTTAATGAGTGAATTAAAAATATACCATATTTATAAAATATTTCATCTAGATTTTGAAAGTGAATTTGGAAATGGTTTGTAAGATCCCTAGGTGTTTTTATATTTTATATTTATACAATGTATGGACACATTCATTAAATGAGCACTCTAATGCTAGAGATACTATCACATAGGGGATAGCACTTCACCTTTCAGACCCAAGAATGTCCTCCTGCATGGTAATCACTTTTCCATATCCAGATATAAAAAAATGCATAATTGATTTTTTTCTAAATGCTACCCCCTCTCATTCCTTTTTTTGGAAATCATCAGACACACCATCTAGTCAACTTTGCCTTTCCAGAGTGGAAGAGATTAAATCTTCATAGGCTATGCCTGTTTCCATTCAAAATCTAATGGAAAACACACTAACCTGTGGTACCTTTGGCTGGAATATTTATTAAACCATCCCAGGGCTGTCACGGTGTTCAGTCATCTTAGTCGCCCCTTAGATGCTAATCCTTAATGATTTTTCTGCTTGTTGAGAAGAGACTAGTGGAATGTCATGCTTTTTCCCTAGGTTCTATCTTGTGGCTGGGATCTTGCATATTGGGTCATGGTTTCTTTCCTATCCTCTTCCTTCTGTATTCTTCCTTGCTTCAGCATGTGGGGGCTATTATAATATTTAGGGAGGAGGACCTAACCCTCACCCCCCCCCCCGATCTCCTACTCATAGGTGGAAGGTGGGGGCACACATTAAAAAAATCAGGGATCATTATAATATTCAAGGAGGAAGACCTAGTGTCCTCCAGCCCTCCACTCATTGGTGGAAGGTGGGGGTACAAATTAAAATATTTAGGGATCAGGACACCCACAGCCCCTTTGGCGGCTGCTCTAATTAATTAAACAAGATGGGTGGACATGTTATTGTCCACTCTCCCATAAAAAAACAAAAACAATGTGCCTGCCTAACTCACTCTAATATTAGTGAAGTATTGGCTATTAAATATAATGCCTGTTAAAAATAAATGATACTCATCTATCTTCCAATTCTTA